TCATTTTTTTAATATCCATGTGAGACCTATATTGACACGTGGCATCCAATCATTGTCCACATGGACTCCACGTCACCAGTTAACGGGAGACTTAATAATCATACTAACCAATGTATGAGACTGTCCCAAAATTAACACTTTAGGTATAACTCTGAGACGAAAAAAATTTTATGTACCAAATGTTGAAAATCACGAAACTTAAAAGTAGTAAACTAAGATTAACCATAAAAACAATTAAAAGAAAAAAAAAATAACGACGGGCCAGCATAAAATCCGGTTTATTTCTCTTATAATCTTGGTGGGCATGTTGTGTTGGCAAAAGTAAACTCCACATGCGAAGTACATCATCATATTTGAATTGAAAATACAAATATGGTATTAGCTTAGCTTTGATAGGAACAAGTGCTCCAATGAAAAAGCATGCTTCACCCAAAAGGGCAAGTTTTGTGTGGTGCTTATTTGTTGTCCATATAACTTAATTTTGACAATGATCCAGATGAGGAGAAAGTCAAAGTGAACTTAAGAATACTCAGACAAAGATTGTTAAAAAACATAAAAATATAAGCACTCGTTTGGTCTAAATCATAGAATATGAGTCATGACTGTAATTTTTTATATTATACGGCTAAAAGTGAACGCTTTTGTAACGTATGAGTACTATTCGTGCTTTTTCACATCTAAACCAAGCTTACCAATTTCAAATCGAATAATAAAGTACATGTATAATACTAATGAGTTGTATCCAATTTCTTATCAAATAATAAAGTATATGTATAATACTATTGAGTTGGATCTTCATGTAAAATAATTTATCATGCAAGCACTAAATCATGTGCACCTTATCACTTATACTTTTACAAGTGATAAGTATATGATGACTTCTTTTGAATGCAACGGCGAAGCTAGGATTTGTCATGGGGAGAGTCGAAATTCAAGAGTGCAAGGTTAATAACTAATTAAAAAGGTTTTAGATTTTTAATCTTGAGGACTCTAAGGATCATGTGATCATGATCGTTTATCGTACATCGTGTGGTCAATTTTTGTTAGACACTATTTATATTTAATTTTAAATTATAAATTTTAAAATGACTTATGATAAAACGATGTACGATGAACAATTACTATCACGGGATCTCTAAGATCCCCAAGAAAATGAGCCGGTGAGGATCCTTTTCCCATAGGGAGCACATTAAATTTACTCCAAATCTGTGCTTGTCTCCATCTTATTGCCACATTGTCGGTTCATTTTAGGGTTTATCAAATGTTAATTTACATGCTTAGCGGTTGGTAAATTACACGATAGTAGTAGGCGAAAGGCTAAAATGTATATTTAAATCTTCTTGACCCCGGAATGACATACTGTTGTGGTACCAGCAGATCCTTTTTTAAGAAAGAATAAAATTTAGTCACGAAGTATAGGGAAAGGAGTTTATATGAGACTTTCTTCATTAATCTGATTGTTAATTGTTTAAGTATTAGATTATTGAATAATAAATTATCAACTGAGAATTATAAAATACATATATTAAAGAAACTTATAAAAAAAAACAACATAAAGTATATGTATAATTGTGGATGTATTAAATTATGATTTGTTTGTAAGGAGCCACGTTTTTGTTTTATTAAAAGTACAAAATACTTATTGTGGATGTATTAAATTATGATTTGTTTGTAAAGAGCCACGTATTTGTTTGATTAAAAGTACAAAATACTTATTTGTTTAATAGAGTAATTTTAAGTTATTGGAAAACATGTCCTCTAATTTCTCCATGATATTGGGAATTATTTTGGAAAAAAAGAAAAATTTGTCGAGCATGCAAGTTGGTGAGTCGGTTAAAATATTTGGTGCCTTATCTTATTAAAGAATGATTGTGAGTTAATAGCTTTCCCTTCCATCATTGGTGGAATACAAAAGGTTTGTTAAATGAGTACATTATTGCACTTACCAAAATATTAAAATAAATAGATTTTTATTTTTATTTTTTATAACAAATAGTTTTTAAACTTGACATACCCTATTTAGATGGTTTTTAAATTTATAATCGATCAGTAGTCCTTAAAATGTTGTCGCAAATAATGTGATTATTTCGTCATAATTCAGTTAAAAGGTTCTTTTATGTGATAATATGGCACATAACAAGATTCTACAATTCTAATCAAATATTGTCACATGGAATAAATATTTAATTAGACTCGTGGAACCTAGTTATATGCCACATTAGCACATAATAAAATTGTGGTTAAAATACCACATTAATTTATGACACCCATTTTAAAGAACTACAATGATCGATTTTTAAATTCAATAATCATCTTAATAGGACAGATCAATTTCTGGTCCATTTGTGATATAAACTCAAATAAATATAAAATCCATTATGGCCTCTATTATGTTGTCCTTATGAAAAATAAAAGATAAAAGTAAAAAACCAATATGCCTGAGATGGGTGCTACACCCTAGGTTTATATCATTTGTCTTTAATTTGATTGATTAAATATGTCCTTAACTAAGAGTGTTGCAATAAGAATCATTGATTCTATTACTTAGTATTACGATTTAGTGATATTTTTCTTTACTTGTAAGTTATTGTTAGACTCAACTCACTCTCTCACTTTTTAGTGTAAAAAATATCATATGTATTAGAAAAAAGCCTAAACCCCATGACAACGTTATGACGTTATCAAAGTAATATGTGTGTGTTTACTTAAGCTTGTGAGCTAATCACATGACTTATTGAAACCTATATAAGAAGTGTTTGGAATAGTCGCCCACTTGTACGATGATGAATTTGAAGTCGTACAAGACTAACACTTGTATTAACTTCTGGAATTCATCTTTACGTGAATGAGCGATTATTTCTAACAAAATTTAAAATTTTAAACCTTTAATTTCATAAAGTGGGTAATGTTTTTTACACTTTGTGAAGAAAATGAAAGCGTAAATACGATTGCATATTAGATTTGAGTAGGGTACATTTTCTGAGGTCTAGAAGTTTGATTAGCAACCCAAAACAACCAAAGAAACTGTTAAAGGAAAAAACAAAAACAGAAAAAACCCTAGAAAGCACTCCAATAATTTCATTTTTGCATGTAATCAATTTGTCTTCCGACCGAGACTCCTTTATTGTGAAAACGGTCGCCTTTTAAAAAAACAGTTTTATGGATGTGATTGATTTTTTCACTGAAAACAACCATCGCCATGGAAATAATTTCATTAAACTATTTTTAGATTAACTAACAACCGACTCGCAAGTCACCTATCATAGAGCGTTAGTCTTACAATCTTGGATTTAAACTCTCTGCCATCTCTTTTGTTTTTTAATAACATAAAAAGGTGGATCCCTATAAAACTAATTCAAAGAGTTATTATAGATAATTCAAGTTTTAAAGACTCTCATCATGTCATGAAATAATCGAATTCCAATTCAAATTGATTCTTAAAATAATTGCATCCAATATATATGTTATAACTCCAAATGATCATATCATCTGCAACTATGTTCTTCTTTCATAACATTCAATAACTCACATTCAGCCATAATAACATTGTTATATAAAACGAACCGACTCGACAATTGCTGTTTTTAACCACTACAATCGGATAAAAGCGATGAAGGAAAGGAAGGTGTCACAGAAGTCTGAAAGAGAAGATTAAGGAAAGGGAAGGAAAAGGGTATAAAAGGTCAAAGACTGACGAAAAATAGATGATAGTGACTAGAGGTAAGACAAGATTTTATCACAAAAGATTGTAATCTCAAGTCAAGCAAATGAAATGAATATGCTGTCCTTTCTGTCTTAAGCCGACTTAGCAGAAGATGCGAGATGTAATATGAAAAGATTTGAATTCGAAATCTCTGATCGATGGCTGTAATTTCGTTAGCCCTACTTTGTTACATGAAACATCGGCTAATTTACAATCTGTAATATTCTAGAAACTTAGCGATGGAAAGGGCGAAGTGAGTTTGAGTTTGTCCTCTCCATCTCGGCCCTCACTCCACAAAAAATATTGATCCACACCACATGCACTGAACAAAATTAGAATTTCACTATAAAATTAATTGACAATACGAAAGAATAGCCCAACTTCTTAGAAACCTTTGCATGGTTTGGTCTCTTACCAATGTGGGACGTTGTCCTCACATTCTCACTCCTCACATTCTCACATGACTCTTTACGTGTGACGAATTTTCAAGCCTAACACATGGGCAACACAAATGTAGTGACATGGAGCATGTGTGACTGCTAGGCTTCACACATGGGCCAACGTGTCCCAATACCATGAAGAACGTTAGAGTTTCACCATAAAACTAATTGGCAATATAAGAAAAGGAGCTGTTATTAGCACTTCAAAAATCTCATTTTACACTCCTCACAAGTGTATTTTTCTTTCTAATTATGGAAACATTAGAGTGCCAAATAAGATTTTTGGAGTGCTACTAACAAAACCCTATAAGAAATAGCACAACCTCTTATAAGCCCTTGTATGGTTTGGTCCCTCACTGATATAAGACCTTGTCATCACATTCTCACATGCACATACCCTCCAGAAGTGATGGATAATAGGTTGGCACAGATATTCAACCATCACCGTCACCACTACAACTAACACTAGCACACATCATCCCAATTAACACATAGCTACCACCTAATCATACCCACTGGTAAACATACTCCCCACAAGTGATCGGGCTCTCTATATGATCGAAATATATCCGGTAGAAAAGACGTTTGAGTTTGGTATAATGTGAGTTGATTTCATATGAATAATAAAAAAAAGGACAAGGAGAAATGTTTATCGTACATAGCCTTATCCTTACTTGACAAAGAGTCTGTTTCTACAACTCAAACCCGTGACCTTTCAAGTCACAAATAAGCAACCTTTCATTGGCGCCAAAGGCTCGATCTTGCACATGAAAAAGGGAATGTAATGAAAATGTCCATGAAGCAGCAACCAAAAGGACCTAAGTCATGGAAATTTGCAGCTTTAAAAGTATAATATATAGAGCAACTCAGAATTCAGGGTTTTCATAATTTAGTTTGATAAATTACACTGCCATAAATCTTTACAAAACATGCATATGATTTCATGTATCTCTCTCATTCCTCAATGATCACAATTTCAAACGATTTTAAATACTGTTAAGACGAAAAGAACCAAGAACCAACCACCTACCCGAAACAAGCTGTTTTCGGGTATCTGGTTTTCATATATTTAGAGAAATTTAAGCAACTCAAGCAAAAGCTTTTTCTGTAATCACACACTGCCGCGGAACTGTTATGAAGAGCCAACAACGCTAGATAGTCGGAACAAATAAATAAATAAACAAGGGCCGAAACCAAACCTCGCACAAGAAGAGAAAGAATCATCATACCCAACTCCCAAATTGTATTAGTTACTTGACGAAGAAGAAGAAGATACTAAAACGCTGTGATCATTCAGATGCCGCTGGAATTGAGCCAACTGAGCCTGCAGTTGAAGAATTCCTGCAGCCTTCTGAGAAAGTATGGCATTCAATTTGCATATATAATCATCAATCGGGTTGCCTGGTTGATCAGCTTGAACCAGCAGATTCATCTCCTGCATCAGTAACCACGGTTAAGCCATGTCCAATAATACACAGCGTAAATAGAACTGTGGTCAAAGTAGATTATACGTTTACACTGACCTCCCTAACAATGTCTATCGTATGCTCTACTTGTCTTCGGTGAGCAGTTACAAGGTCTTCTTCCTCCTAAAAACAAGCATACGAGAGTATGTATGATAACTGAATGATGATAAGAAATATGACAAATAGAAAACCTAAAATGCCTTGTACCTGTAAAACAGCATTAAGATCATCTTCAGAATGAGAGTTCATAGCCTCAATATCAGGTATATCTGTCCATTTCATCTGACTACCAATCTTTCGCTTTTCTTCGAGAGCTGATTGTTGGTAGGTTTCTACCTTCTTACTATTTCCCCGTGATGGTTTTGCTTGTTCATAGGTCTGCTCGGGGTAGTCAAAATCATCTTTGCCTATGCCATTTCTACCACCTATTGGAGCCTTGTAATAATTTGATACAGATGTAGAAAAATTTCCTTCCGCCCTCCCGCTAGGTATACGATCTGCGTTCATTTTTGCAGAGGGTTCTCTCTCAGTAATCTGTTTGGACCAACCAAAGCTGCTCTGTTCAGTAGGGACATAAGTCATGTCATCTTCAAAGGTTGTGTCATTTGGCAAAGACGAAGACAAGGGCATTGTGGTTGAGTCTCTAAGGTTTGACAACGAAGTCAATTGATGCCTTTTGGAGCCGCCCCCTTTTGATAAACTCTTCACCCTGGAAAGTATAAATTTGATGAGAAATGCAAAATCAATAATAATATCCACTTCCCCGCTTTTGTTTTGTATGGAACCAATTTACCTGTCAGCATATCTTAGTGTGTTGAGAGTGTGCTCACATGATCCCGAGCTTGGTGAAATGCATGATATCATAACGGTGCGTGAATCACCGACAAATGAATCTCTAAGAACTTCAGTCAACTTACTCCCTCTGAAAGGAATGTGGCCTTGGTCACTGTCGAGAGCTCTGATGCATTCTTTTAAGGCAAGTAAGCTTTTATTAATTTCAGCACCTTCCATTCTGCAAGAAGAAAGTCAATATGAATCCGAAAGGAATAAGGTTATGCTAATTGCTCATAATCCCATACAACAAAACCCCCACCTTGTCTGTTTATCATTATCTGTAGTATCTGCACCGCGTTCACTTCCAGCCAGGTCTATGAAAGATAGCTTGCCTACAAGCCGGGCGGGCTTTGTTTCAGTTCCATCAGCTGATCTCTTTACACAAAGCTGAAGTATAGCATGTGATCGGGAAGACTCCTCATTCGCACCGGTAGTACCAGTACTTCTTGTGGAATTTCCTTTCTCAATAAACTCCCTGACCGTCTCCACATTTGACACCCTGTACTCTTGCAAACCGACGATGCACACTTGCTGCTTACCATCTTCCCTCATGCAAAGCTTTCTGCAAAAGTGGAATACTTTCAGGAGAATGAGCCTGAATGGAAATCTTTTCTTTCCTAAAGGGTTTAAATAACTTGAGAATGAGCCTGAATGGAAATCTTATCTTTTCTAAAGGGTTTAAATAACTTACTTTCGATCATTTAGGAGATCAAAAAGTTTCCCACCATATATCTCGAAGAAACTAACGAATAACTGAAAACCTTGGTTTCGGTATGTATCAAGCGTTAATCTTAGAATATCTTGGGATGCTTTAAGGGGCAGTGGTTGCATAGTATAAGTCTTCCCACTGCCTGAAACATCCAAGCAAGAACAAATATATGAGAAACGGAACATAAATTCTTACAGATAATGCAGAAGCTAAGTTGTTATTGAGGGTATAATACTTGCCTGTTTGCCCATATGCAAAGCAAGTCGCTTTTGTTCGCTGGAAAATCAATGGAACTATTGGCTCCACCGTTTCAAAGTATACCTAAAACAACAAAATGAAAGATATTCTAACATCAATTGATTGAAAGTGGCAAAGCGAACCAGTTTCAGATAAACTCACACCTCATCATTTGAAACATCTTCGTTCAACACAGCATCAAAAACAAATTCGTGTTTCTCAACATATCCTGTTAAGTCAACCTGCAGCGGACCGAGAATAAGAACATAGTAGATACACAGCTCAATACATAGAAAAGAGAAAACTTTCTAAGAATATCACAAAGTAACCGTGTCATATAATGGTCTACTAATAGTGCACAGCCAAACCAGTCATTTTATACAACCTATGAATTCAGAAACTACATCAGTTTCCAGTTCCTCTTCCTAAAGACAAGTTCAGCTAGAATTATCCATCTCACCCCTTACATGCCTTCACTTCGAAGTGAAGGCATCAGGCATGTGGGAGGTGTCGAGCGCAATGCCATCGGACTCTTGACAATTGCTCACCTTAAGCTTGGTTTCATGAACCGTGAGAGCGTTAGAATGAGGTTCGATTGTGATAATGTCTTCCTCTTTCTTCGCAAATTCCTTTTTATTTAGTGGTCTCTTGCGTACCTGCAGAATCATTTTTCGAAAAACCAAGTTCAACCATTTGCTGCAATGTAAAGAAAAGGGAGAAGAACTTTTAAATGGCTCTCAAATGAGACATACCACAACTTTGATTTTAGCAACATTACTAGTATTGCCCCTTTCTTTATCTGCTGAGAAACTCTTGAGAAGACTATTCTCAGGCAAAATTCGTGATCTGCTCGTAGCCTGCTTGACGGAAATGAAAAATATTATGTAATCAAAAAGTTATTATTTGTCAGTACTACTCGAGCGCTAACCAGTTAAAAAGTTAATACGGTGCTACACACTAGTTTGTGCCGACTCCACAATTTAATCTCATGATCCGAACTATTCCTCCTCTTTTTCTAGTGAATCACTTGTTAATCTCGCAATCTGAACTATTCATTTCTTTAAGCAAACCACTGGTTAATCTCACAATCCGTACTTTACATTTTCTTTAGTAACCAAACTTTTTTAGCGCCGTATTAACTTACTATCTAAATCTTACTGAAGGAATGCAGAGATATGTAAGGTTTAACCAAAGCAAAAGTAAATTTTCTGATCAGTAAAAAAACAAATTCGACAAACCTCAGGTAATAGCTCAGTGTCAAATGAATTAATATCAAGCAAGCCAGGGCTGAGCTCACTCGGCGAAACTCGATCGTCGCCGTTCCTTCTCATGCTCGACGAGCGCAACGGAATCGGCGGCGGCGTCGAAGCGTCCGGTGGCGATCGCTCATTGCCGTTTCTATAACTCTGCCTGCTCATTCTCGTCCCGTACAGCTCGAAGTCCTGCAAAAAAATTCAAAACAGAGATGCTTCGCATTATCAGGGACCGGCATGCAATTTCGAGGTGAATTTGAAAAGATAATCAAGGTAATATAGGACCTGTGAGAGACTGGTGGACTGCAGCCACTTGGACGGCGCGTCCGTGAAATGGTCTGAGTACTGACGACGGTGGTGGTGCATTGACGAACTAGATCGCGACATCTGTCTCCCCACCGCATTCATCTTCGTCGACTCGAGCGCTGCAAATGTATCGACTCCAATGTCCGCACGAAACAGCAATACAGTTATATATTATGAGACAGAAAGCGTCTGAGAGAAGCTGGCTGTTGCAGTCGTGGTGGTTGTTGGAAGATTTTCTTGTCCAACTTTTTTCTCTTCGGTTTTCTCGGGAAACAAACAAGCGTGAGAGAGTGAGAGAGAGGAGAGAGGGAGAGTTTGAAACTTTTTAAAAAGAGAGGGCGGGGGTGGGGCAGCTATCGAAGAGAGGGGGAGGAAGGACGGAAGAAGATGATGAGTAGCGGGGACCACGTGGTCGGTTGTTTCGGGCGGGGATTGGTGGTCTTCACGTCGTTGAGTGCATGGTCTGATCCATTACATCGCGAATCTATGCTTTATGGAGCAGGTAGGACCGTAGGATTAGCTTGATTCAACCCTAGTTTTGGTATTAAAAAATGAATTCACATTGCTTACTTGCATTCCTGATCAAATTTTATTATGTTCTGATGTATTTTATAGATAAAAAAATGGTTAAATATTGTTCATTGAATCCTTTGACAAAAAAAATCTAACGACCCGTGAATTAAACCATAAATACTTAACGTTAGCCCCTTAAATCAAATCATACATCTTAATCTGAAACTAATCCAATCATGATCACCCAATATAACTTGTAGGTTATACTTATACACCATCAATCAAAAATTGGTCTTTCATTTGAAATTTAGGGACATATGAAAGTGGAAACGTACACAGATGTCGGGACGGTGTACTTTTTTTATGAAAAACTCAAATTTCCTTAAGGTAGGGCATGCTTTTGAAATTTAAAGAGTAAGACCATAAGTCACGGTTCATTATTAAACTGATTTTGGGAGGTCCACAAATGGAATAAGGCAAAAATGATGAATCGCATGGAATGTCACCCACCCTTGCGACTAAGGTTATCATAATTGGTTGTCAAAAAAGTTTAAGAGGAGGGAAAAGTTGAATTTGAATTGGTATTTATTTTGTCGGTAAGATGTTTTATATTGATCTAAACATTCCACTTGGAATATCTTGTAATATTAGGGGTCCACGAAGTACATGTTGGCCCAATTCATAAATTCAAAAAATGCAATAAAAAAAGTTAGATATTAGCTTGTAAATATTGGCATAAGGATATTTGATATAACATTAAAGAAAAGAAAGATATGTGATGACTAGTGTTTAAAATATTTGATATCGGTAGAAATATTGATATCTAAATATGTGAAATATATCGATGTTGGTTGCTTTTCGATGAAAATTGTGAAAATTTAAAATAAAACTTTAGAGAATGTAAAAAACTGGTTTAGATGAAATATAAGATTTTCTACGATATTTAATTGATATGTTAAAAATATCGACGAAATCTTTCATATCTTTCTTTGGTTTTTTGAATATTTCCACGAAAATACCGACTGTATTGAAGAAATTTCAACCAATGGTGATGACTCATGATTGTAATTAGGGGAAGATATATTTATTATGTTTAAATTATTGTGTGGGAGGAAAAATTCAAACACGTTAATCTTGGATTTCAATCTTGAATTGTTCAAAACTTAGACAATGTGTTTCCATGTTCATTAGGTTGCAAAAGTGTAGCTCTTTATTGAAACTAAGTGCTAGTCACATAAGTTTTGTGAGACCGATAAATATCAACTCCATACACTCAATTCAAATAGAACTAATCAAAACACAAGTTTCGTAACATTGGATTTGAGTTTGGATGCTATCACACTCAAATTCATGGCCAATATTATACTGAAATATGACACATGTATTTGTACTGTGAGTTCAAAAACACCCGAAATAATTTTCTTGAAATACCTCAGAGTAAAACATTTATTTAATAAGAGAGCACAATTGAATTTTGAATAAATATTATATCGCTGAAATGAAATGAACAAGAAAATAAAAAGGAAGTACAATTTATTTAACAAGAACGGAAAAAACGTTAAATATTTACTTTATTTGATAGTTTTTCCCATCCTCTTGAATCAACTCGTTAACTAAAAAAAAAAAGTGTGACACCATGAATTACACAAACCTATTAAGTACAACAAAACCAGCATTATACAACTACGCGTTAAGGAAAGGTCATAATGTTTGAGACCAATGGTCGAATATCTACAAGTTAAATTTTTTAAAAATTTCTAGCATCAAGTTGAGATGGCCGAGTTGGTCTAAGGCGCCAGATTAAGGTTCTGGTCCGAAAGGGCGTGGGTTCAAATCCCACTCTCAACACTCCTTTCCTTTTTGTTTTTTAACTTCCCTCCTCAGGTGCCGGTACCAGAAAAAGATTTCGTTGGGATGCAGAGGCTCGTCAGAGGCACATGGAAAGGCTAACAAGGAGAATGTGGCGCCAAAGTCGACTGAGTATCTCTTTATATCCATCCAAGGCCCTTCCAAAGCAACAACAGAATCCGAGGTGGGAGGAGAAGCGACAATGCGATCAAGATTACAATTGTGTTTTTTAACTTCCCTCCTCAGGTGCCGGTACCAGAAAGTGGGATGCAGAGGCTCGTCAGAGGCACATGGAAAGGCTAACAAGGAGAATGTAGCGCCAAAGTCGACTGAGTATCTCTTTATATCCATCCAAGGCCCTTCCAAAGCAACAACAGAATCCGAGGTGGGATGAGAAGCAACAATGCGATCAAGATTACAATTGTGGGATTGCTGCAGGGAATAACAAGCAAAAGGAAGCGAAAAAATGGGCAATGTCCGACGCTGAAGCTACTGATGAGGAAGCGGTCATCGAGAGAGAGAGAATTAGACCGGACGTCAATTGACGGCTTAGGTCATGTGAGCGAACTTCTCTCCTGCAACTAGGCTTCTATCAAAAACAAAATAAAGAAAACCCAACCGTAATGGCCCAATAGGTTCTTGGGCCTTGTGTATGAAGCTATTGGGCTGTGGAATTTGTGCTATTCGGCCTAATGAAAAATAGATTTTTTAGTGTGACCGGTACATAGAATGTTACATCACGTGTCATTATATAAATAGTAGGATATATGTACTAAAAAGTTAATAACTTAAAAATCACAATGAAAAAATTTTCATAAAGAAGAACCACAAATAATTGGATAATAAATTGATTAAAAAACGTGAGAAAATCGATGAAAAGCTGTGGGTGGAGGAGTCTTTTACTTGTTACGGAGAATTAAAAGACAGATAGAGGAAGAGGTAGCGGCTGAGATCTGTGGGTAAGGCGGTTGCGCCTCGGCCTGTCCTGTGGTCCGATACTACTGAAATTACTGTTATAGCCTTGTAGCCTGCTGCAACTTGGAAAGTCAGAAGTCCAATCGCAAAGACCGGACGAAGAAGCAGCGGTTGAAAGCAGAAGAGAAGTGATTGCTATGGCTATGGCGTCGAGCTGCCTCTCAGCGCTGAGCTGCGTATCTCCTAGTTGCAGCTGGTCGAATTGGAGACGAAGGCAATCTTCTTTATCCCCAGCAAGGTCGTCGTCTCCTTCCTCCGCCCTGTGGTTCGATTCTCGACGCCATCGGAGGAGTCAGGTGGTGCGTATGGCACCGGATGAGGAGAAGCTCACCCGCCGCAACCCTCTCGATTTCCCGATTGTAAGCGTGCTCCTCAGCCACTCTCGATTTCTGCTGTGTTTTTTTTTTTTTGAATTGCGTTTGGAATTTTGGTTGCTAATTAGATTTTGGTGTTGCGGAATTGTGTTGCAGGAGTGGGAGAGGCCGAAGCCGGGGCGGAGGCCTGACATTTTCCCGCAGTTTAGTCCTATGAAGACGCCTCTGCCGCCTCCTATGCCGTATGACCCGCCGGAAGAAGACGAAGACGAGGAGGAGAAGAAGGAGGAGGAGGAAGAGGAGCAAGAGCAGGAGGAGGAATCTCCGGAGAAGATTGACCCAGATAAGAACAATAATTAATCGGTGCCTATGCATTTCAATTTATGGTCTTTCTGCTTGTAGTGTTGCTTTAGGTTTAAATGCTCTCTCACCCTACTGTATGAGTTTAACGGCTTATGCTTAATCTTTTTTGAGTTGTTTGATATCGAGTTTTGAATGAATTTCGATGAAATGTGTACCCTTTATTTTACTCCAAAGCTCACATCATGTTTCACGAATTTACAAATATTCATTAAGAAGTAACGAAACAGCCTTTTGTGGCAAGAATGAATCCGAAAACTTCCTACACATGACGGGATTTTCCCTGTGTCGCATTACATTTGTAAAATTCATATTTGAATAATGAATACTATCGGATGGAACGTCAAGTTAGTGTCTTTATCTAGGTTCCATGACAGTTATAGATAGACCATTTGATGAACCCATATCCAACCTTCTTTCAGCTTGTGATGATCCGGATTCACTATTTGAGACACAGAATGCGGGTTGTTTTGGATCGGGTAAAAAGATGATATCACTTGTGAGCATGGATAGGACTTCTGACATGGTAGGTCTATCTGCTGCGTATTCTTGTACACATAGCAGACCAACATGAACATATTTTGTAACTTCATCTTCTGGGCACGAGTCCATTGACGGGTCCCTTATCTCTAGACAGTCACCTTGTTTCCATAAACTCCAAGCCTGCAGTCATTAAATTTTGATGCACCGTGTGAGTGTTTCTGCTCTAATTGAAATTGAGGGCTAATTTTTTTCAATCTTTATAACACTTACAAGTTCAATAAGGCTGAGATTAGTAGATGAAACGAAAACAGTGTTCTTTCTGCCACTCACGATCTCCAGCAGTAAAACTCCAAAGCTGTATACATCAGACTTTTCAGAGAAAATGCCATTCATGGCATATTCCGGAGACATATAGCCGCTGCATAAAATCATCATACAAAAGTTAAGAAACCTTTCATATTTCATATAAGCAATTATATAAATTTTAGGTGCCATTACTATGAAATATTAATGCTTTTTAAACTCACTATGTTCCTACAACTCTATTCGTATTTGCTCTGGACTCATTCTGTCCGAAGATTCTGGCCATTCCAAAGTCTGATATCTTGGGTTTCATGCTTTCGTCAAGTAAAATGTTGCTAGCTTTCAGATCTCTGTGTATGACTCTTACTCGAGAGTGCTTATGAAGATAAAGAAGTCCTTGTGCAACCCCTTCAATGATGTTGATGCGCCTCTGCCAATCTAAGAGATACACTCTAGTGGAATCTGCAGTTAATGTGAAATTCATAGTATGCTTAGTAGAGTTACAGATTTCATGGAAGAGGGGAGTCTTTGAATTTGAAGGGAATTATGGACAAACCAAAGAGGAAGGCATCCAAGCTTGTATTTGTCAGGTATTCGTAGATCAGAATTTTCTCTTCTCCTTGAATGCAACAACCCAAAAGCCGAACAAGATTACTATGTTGAAGTTCAGCTATAAGTGTTATTTCATTCATGAATTCTTCCAATCCTTGTCCTGAATGTCTTGCAAGTCTCTTTACTGCTACCTGTTGCCCGTCTGGTAATACACCCTACAAAAACTTTGAATGTCAGGTATCAACTTCCCAGATAGCCATTAGTCGATAAATTTATATTTTACCTTGTAAACTGGTCCAAAACCACCCTCTCCTAGTCTTCGGGCAAATGAGAAGTCATCTGTCGCAGTCACTAATTCAGGAAAACTGAACATCTTAAACTCCAGCCCTCGGCTTTTGCCGAATTTGAGTTTGAAAATGTCACCCAATCCGCTGATTTGGGATCCCAAGTCAAGTAATCCTTGCTCTTGGATTGTTTCCGCCTTGTCTGCAGCCCAGTGATTGCAATAGTATATAAGGTACTTGTACTTGCAATTCATAATTTAACAGCCATAAAATCCTATCTAGTTTCTTCTTACCAGTTTGTTGCACGTGTAGAAGTTTTCTTTTCCTTGTGTAGCAGAAGTACCCCAAAAGTAGCACTGCCACTGCAAGTACAATGCCCACGATACACCATATCCACCATTTTCTCTTTGTACTTTCTTTTTCGGTAGGTGTTCCATCTATACCCAACCACAGAATTAGCATTAACTTAAGTACTTGAAGTGGTTTAGAGCTATAGTAATACATAGATTCGAAAGACATTATCATTACAAGGTTCATATCTGTGTATCAAATAGCATGAACTGAAGATAGAAGAATGACAAGATTCATAGGTGCATTAGATAAACTCAGTATTAGTCATGCTAAACCAGTAATTAGGGCATACATACCTCTGCTATTATTTGCTATAGTAACGACGTAATTAACTTCAAAGTAATCGTTCTTGACATAATGTGCTCCTTCTCTCATATACAGACATCCAGACCCATTGGGATTTAAAGGTCTGTAGCCGACACAGGTGCAATCACTCCAGCAAGTTGCGTGACAATCGCTAAGATCCAAGTTAGTATTACTATCATTATACGTCAACTTAGCATCACCTGAGTAGCCTCTCATCGGTAGAAATAGCTCAGAACCATTCCTGCATTCAGACGTCGTCTGCTTTATGCACACTGCATCTGGATAATCTGGGTTGGACGTACATGGACTTGTAACTGTGGTTTCCCATGTAGTACCGTCTGAGCCTAAAATCGACTGCAGGAGTTGGCCCCAAGTATTGAGTTCCCATCTCGAAAGAGTTGAGCTGTTTTTAACAGCATAAGTGAAGTACTTCTCCTCTGCATTTGAAACAAAATTGAACTCGAACAAATCAGCCCTGCTTGTGAGTTCAGGGGTCCTCTGAAAACTTCCACTTTCCCAGATCCCACTGGTCCAGTATACAACATCTCGCTGCCAGATGATTAACCGGTTGGTGCGATTGGGATCCACACTAAGCCTGAAAGCACCTGCTGTAGGCACTTGATCGCTGAACCATGAAGAAATTGTTCGATTACGCCCTGTCCTAAAGTCCAACCCTAACTTCATTCCAGGTAACAATGTGTTTGATGGATAATCAAAACTTTCCCATAAAATCTTTCCGGGTGTTCCATCCGATGCTACTTCTCTTAACATAAAGTTTCCGGTATCCATCATATAACAAGTCACATTACCGGAAACTGTCTGATTGTAATCCCATACAATAATCTCCCCTCCACCATGTTTGATCTTCATTTTCCCATCACTATCCAACACAAACACTCCAGACGAATCCACGACCGGAGTTTCAGGGTTTCCCACCCACACTGCATCCGGATGATTTGGTAGTTTGCTATACCATATTCCCAAGAACCGATTGCTCGTAGCACCCAGGTTACTCGAAGCACCGGGACTGAAGAACCCTAGCTTGAAGTCACCGTGCTGAGAAATGAGGTGATCGTTTTCCTGGTCCCGTAGCTGCTCCCCTTGCTTGAGCGTGTACAGCACTATTTCTGCATAACAAGGGAGAAGATAATGCATGAAGAAACATGAGAAAAACAGCAGCAGAAAGCTTCTCTGTGCAGCCATCGGCTATAATATTTTGCTGTCTGTCTACCATTTTTTTTTCAGAGAAGCTTTTGTAGCTTGAATTGGCCTGCAAATTGAAGAATTTTCTCCTCTGACTTTTCCTGATTTGTCCATTTTCTTTTGAATTTAGCTACACAAATCTTAAATGTGGGAAGACTTTTGTCATAAAATTGGTTGAAATTTTGGGACGATTTTGTTGATTTGTTCTTCATTTTTTTATGGGTATAAAATTATTACCCAGTCACGATCGAAGGTTCCTCAAATCATGAACATTTTCATTTCGTACTAATTGCAATTAATTAATTTTCGTTGAAATTATTATCGATTGCTTTGAAGTCTCAAGATTTCCAACGCGTTGCAGATTTTTTTGGAATAAAAAAGGGTTGCGAGTCCTCTGTTTCAGCCGTCACGAGGTCAAAGGGTTTAAATTTCTTCTAGTTTGAGCTCACGGCGTTTACTCGCCGTGTTTGGCTAATACGTGATGGAATATAGCAATACCGTCACGCGGTAAAATATGTTTAATGTGGTAGAAATATCGATGTGTAAATTTATAAAAATATTAATGGATATATCATTATTAGTTGTCTTCGACGAAAATTATAAAAATTTGTAATGGGTGGGTATATCAACTCGTTCAGAATTAATTGGAATTAAGAGAAAAATATCCCAAAAAAAAATTCAAAAGTTCAAAATCAGTAATGAGTTCAAGCGATTTTTTTGTAGTAAGTCGGTAAATATTATCGATATTCATTGATTATGGTGAAGTTTGCATTTCATCCTCTTTTTCATATCGATTCTTAATTTTTAAATATTTTTACTAAAATATTGATCATTTCTCGAATATTTTAAATACTAAATACGTGATATGTTTATAACTTTAGAATATAATATTCATATTTTAAATAAAACACATTGTGAACAGGTAGAAAGCTCTACTATGTAGCCATAGTTATACCATGTCACTATAGGAATTGGATCCGCTCTGGACTTTAGCGTCCAGAACTAAGGATTAAATCATCTGGACCGTTGATTGATGTGTAAAAGAAATCAGAGTCGTTAGTTTTGTATGGTAGGGCAGAAAAATGAGTTAATAGGGACCGTTGGATCAAATTTGTGCGGCTCAGATGAATTGATTTCTAGGCTCTGAACACTAAGGTCCGGAACGGATCAATTCCATCACTATATTCGTACATAATTTCTCGTGTTGGACAATTTGTGAACCCATCTTTGGCTAACAGAATTAGAGACGGAGGAGTTTGGTGAAACGTGAAAGTCCAGAAGACTGGTACAAAGTAAAATGCAATAAGTAGCTGACTAGTAAAAGCCCAAAACGCAGTTTGTTTTGGCATAATTCATTTCCCGTCGATTTTTTAAGAAGTTATGCGAGTAATGTTAGGAGTGAGAAATCGAACACGTGACCTAGAATGCAAGGGTAAATTACTAGCGTTCAGTGACATGAAAGCAACTTTTATGATACTGATACACCGTCACAGTAGCGTTTTGTGCTAATAATATAATGACACGTGAAGAGAAACTGACACATAATATTGTATTATTGACACAGAATGTCACCATAACGGTTTACTCGTGCCATACAAGTAACATGGTGGGTGGGGCATACAAGAGAGAAGCTTGAGTGGTTTAGTACATGCAGATGCAGGATAAAACAGTCATATAGTCAAGAAAAAGAAGGTTTATGTGATCAAACGGTTTAACCTCATGAAGTAAGGGTAAGAGTTTTGTGCTTCAGATCATGCATTATTCGTGATGGCCATTGAAAGTTCTCTATATAGTGATATCGAAATCTTGGTAAGTTCTTGTCCATCAAGATTTAAAACAGTAAACTCGTGGCTGAAATCCTAATAAGTTCTCGTTAAGAATCCTTAAGAAAATCATAAATGGCCTGCTATTTTCTTGGTAAATTCTTGTCCATCAAGATTCAAAACAGTAAACTCGTAGCTGAAATCCTAATAAGTTCTCGTTAAGAATCCTTAAGAAAATCATAAATGGCCTGCTATTTTCTCCTTACTCGAGCAATCAACAATGCGAGTTGAGGTGCAGTGAAGAACAAAAGACAAAATCGTCAGACTTTTGCATCTCGTGGTTGGTGCTCCAACAAGTAAAGACCAGATCATTTGTGATTTTACTGAGGAAAATAGCTTGGTTCGCCTTATTTATATCCCGAGAGAGACTACCAAAGTGGTCTATTTCTTAATTGTCAAGTTCGTCAAACTTTATTCTCTCGCCTTATTTGAATTTTGTAACATGAAGTTTTTACCTGGCTTCCATCACAGTTATGGGCACGTAATCTGCTGAACCCATGTCCGGTCGCCTCCCATCAGGCCTCGATGACGCAACTTCACTTCTCGAAATGTGGTATGCAGGTTGCTTCGGATCAGGGAAAAACATGGAATCGCTTGTGAGCATGGATACGACTTCTGCCATGGTAGGTCTATCAGCTGCATACTCTTGCACACATAGCAGACTCAAATGAATAAACTTCAAAACTTCGTCTTCAGGGCACAAGTCTAACGACGCATCCTTTAGCTCTTGAGTGTCACCTTGTTTCCACAAATCCCAAGCCTGCAATCATTTAAATTTCATTGCGGTGAATGAGCTTTTTCTGCTCTAGTTGAAGTTGAATGCAAAATTTGATCTGTTTTAATAGCTTACCAGTTCAACGAGGCTAAGAGAAGTAGATGAAACGAAAACAGTGTTCTTTTGGCCACTCACAATCTCCAGCAATAGAACTCTGAAGCTGTAAACGCCGGACTTGTCAGAGAAAATGCCTTTCATGACATACTCCGGAGACATATAACCGCTGCATAAAATCATCATCTGCAATTAGAAAACATTCACATTTGAAAAAATGCGTATACAGAGATTTTTGAGTATACTTACTATGTTCCTACAACTCTCTTCGTCTTTGATGTGGATTCATTCTGTTCAAAAATTCTGGCCATTCCAAAATCTGATATCTTAGGATTCATGTTTCCGTCAAGTAAAATGTTGCTAGCTTTCAAATCTCTGTGTATGATTCTAACTCTAGAATACTTGTGAAGATAGAGAAGTCCTTGCGCAATCCCTTCGATTATGTTCACGCGTTGTTGCCAATCTAAATGCTTCCCTTTAGTTGAATCTGCGGTATATTGAAATTCAAAATAGCATGGTTAGCAAATTACAGGTGCAGGGGAAGACAGAAAAAGGGAGCCTTTCGATTTGAAAGGAGTTGTGGACAAACCGAAAAGGAAGGCGTCCAAGCTTGCATTCCTTAGGTACTCATAGATCAAAATCTTCTCTTCTCCTTGAATGCAACAACCAAAAATCCGAACAAGATTTCTGTGTTGAAGTTCAGCTATAAGTGTAATCTCGTTCCTGAATTCTTCTAGTCCCTGTCCCGAATTTCTTGCTAGTCTCTTTACTGCTACCTGTTGGCCATCTGGTAACACACCCTGCATTGTTATTAAAAGTCAGGTACCAATTTTCAGATAGCTATTGTTCGATAATTCAACGTAGATTTTACCTTGTAAACTGGTCCAAAACCACCCTCTCCGAGCTTGCTGGCAGATGAGAAATTATTCGTTGCAGCTACTATTCCAGAGAAACTGAACATCTGAAACTCCTGGCCTATACTTTTGCCTAGTTTGAGCCTGTGTACATTGCCGATTCTGGTAATTTGAGATCTCAACTCATTTAATCCTTGCTCTTGGCCTGCACAGTTTTCATGAATGCAATAGTATCTAGAGTTACATGCACACTTAATTCCTAACTATGTTAGCAGTAATGAAATCCTTTACGATTCCTCACACTTACTGGTGTGTTGCATGAATCTACGTTTGATTTTCCTTATGTAGCGCAAGTAACCTAAAAGTAGCACTGTCACAGAAAGTGTAATGCTTATGACAGACCATATCCACCATTTTTTCGCTACACTTCCTGCTGATCCGATCTTTTTTCCTTCTTCAGTAGGTGTTCCATCTAGACCAACCACAAAATTAGCGTTAAGTACTTGAAGAATTTGTTGAGAGCACACGTATGAAACTCAAAACATCAAATAAGAGCACAAATCATAGACTACGAAGGAAGAACGAGAAGATGCATACCTTTGCTACTATTCCTGCCTATAGTAAGAATATAAGTAAAGCCAAAGTAATCACTCTCTTCAAATTTTGCCCCTTCTATCATATACACACATCCAGTCCCATTGTTGGTATACAAACTTTGATATCCGACGCAGGTGCAGTTTCTCCAGCAGGCAGCGTGACAATCGCTAATAGCCAAGCTAGTATCGTCATCAGCGTATAGGAATTTGGTCTCATTAAAATAGCCTCTTATCGGCACAAACAACTCAGAACCATTCCTGCATTTGGAAATCTTCTCCTCTATGCACATTGCATCCGGATAATTTTCGTTGAATTCACATGGACTGGTCACCGTGCTCTCCCAAATAGTCCAATTCGGGTTTAGAACCGAATGCAGGATTTGTCCCTGTAAATTCAGTTCCCACCTCGAAAATGTAGAACTATTTTTTACAGAATACGAAAAATACTTCTCCTCTTTGTTTGAAACAAAAGTAAACTCAAACAAGTCCACCCTTTTTGTCAATTCAGGGGATCCTTGAAAACTATCGTTCACCCACACGCCGCTTTTCCAGTACACGTCCCCTCGCCGCCATATGATCAATTGGTTGGCGCCACCAGGATCCACTCCGAGGCTGAAGGCGCCCGTGCAGGGACTTGATCACTTAGCCATGAAAAAAGTGTCCATTTCTGTCCTGTCTTAAAATTCATTCCTAATTTCATTCCTGGTAATAATGTGTTGGTTGGATGATCAAAACTTTCCCATAAAACGCTTCCAAATGCTCCATTCGAAGCGATTTCTTGTAAAACAAGATTTCCGGTACCTAGTAAAGTAGCAGTCACATTACCTGAATCTGTTTGATTGGTATCTGATATAGATATCTGCCCTCCACTATACATAATCTTCAATTTCCCATCACTATCCAATGTAAAAACACCCGATGAATCGCTGATCAGAGTTTTTGGGTTAGCCACCCACACTGCATCCGGATGACTAGGTAGTTTTGTGTAAAATAGTCCCAGGTAACGATTGCTGGTAGCACCGGAAGCACTTGAAGTTCCAGGACTCAAGAACCCTAGCTTGAAGAAACCGCCATTTTCCGAAACAAGACGATCCTGATTTCGATCAACTAGCTGCTGACCTTGCTTGAGTCGTGCAGGAAAATCTAGGCTTTGTGCAATACAAGAAGAAAAAAAGGATTGCTTGCAGTACAAACATGAGAAAATGCTCAGAATTAGGACAATATCGTATTTGCATCTCATGTTTTGTGTATGAAATATGAACCTTTGTTTTTCAGCATAACATTGACAAATGCTAATAACTTGTTGGTGCGGCAAAAAATTGTATACATTTGGGGACTGCGTGCTAGCGTTTATTCTTGACGTGATTTCATTGAAAAATCTACGTCTTGCCAGTTGTTACTTATTTATTGGTAGAATAAATGGATGGCAATTGAAAACTCTAAGCACTTATGTGTGTGTTTTTTTTAATGAAGAATATTATCTAGGGAGATTATATTCACACATACCAAATTACTTCTCTCATACTCTTTTAATTTTTTAATATTTTTTTTTATCAAGTGTTAGTGGTGTGTAGAAAATATTAAAAAATTAAAAAATGTGTGAGAGAAGTTGTAAGATCCCACATCGTCTAGGGAAGTGATCCTTATATGTATATTCTCATCCCTACTTTGCACGAGGCCTTTTGGGAGCTCACTGGCTTCGGGTTCCATCGCTTCGAAGTTAAGCGAGTAGCGCGCGAGAGCATTCCCATGATGGGTGACCCACTGGGAAGTTCTCGTGTGAGTTCCCAGAAACAAAACCGTGAGGGCGTAGTCAGGGCCCAAAGCGGACAATATAGTGCTACGATGGTGGAGCGGGCCTGGGAAGTGGTCTCTCCCTGGCCGGGATGTGACAGAAGTAATTTAGGGTGTGTGAATATAATCTCTCTATTATCTACACACTTACGTGTTTTTTTTTTTGGTTGCTTGAACTTTTAAATATTTTAATTTCTCAAATATGATAATGTATGATTAGTTTGAAATACGGTTAATGTGATACTTCAAGTGCATGAAGTGCTTCTCTAATCATTATAATTATTATCCAATTTCTTGTTCAATGATCAAATATAGGTTTGTTTGAAAATGTTTTTAAAAGAGCTGAAAGCACTTCTGGTAAAAATATTTTTGGAACCAATATTTAAAAAAAAAAAAAACCTAATGAAAATGATTTGAAAATTTTGAGTTTTAACGATGTGGACAAAATAAAAGTAAAGTAAATAGTACCAGGATTGACTTTTTAGTGTAAAAATGTAGTTTTTCGTTAAAGTAAACAGTACCAGGAGCTTTTTGTTAAAGTTCTCTTGAAAAAAATGTCAGTGAATCCCGTAAAATACTTGAAGTGATTCCTGCAAGAAGCATTAGTCAATTACTTTTGAAACTCAAAAATATTTTCTCTAAAAACGTTTTCATTTCTTTTAAAAACACTTATAAACCAGTTTAAAGACCAATTTAGAGTCCAGTTGTGAGTCCTAGTATCTTATGTAATCAAATTGATTGAAAACTCACAGAGAGCGGTGGGTGCGCACAATTTGTTAAATTCAAGAATTTTAATTAACAAATTTTTCCCTTTGCAGCCAAATCTAAACGAGGGCGAAATTACAAATTCTTAAGTCTAGTCTTAATTCCTAAATGGTGTCGATTAGTTCAAGAACTGCTCAAATTTGTTTGGATTCTCAATTCTCTAAAGATTTTAGTCACAAGATGAATACAAAATAGTTGTTTTTTGTTTGGTCAAAGAGAAAGAGTTGGGTGTTGCATTTTTTTAATGAGCACCACCTGTTCTTCCTGGTGGTTTAAGGCTTTAAGCACTACCCAATTTTTTTTCATATGCCAAATTTTTTTCAGACGAGTAGGTTTGAATGTTTGCCGAAAGATCGACAGATAGAACTAATAAAATAAAATCCTAACAAATTAAACACCCCAAATCAAAACCCTCACTTCTCTTCGAAATCCAGTTCAGAAACTTCATCTCCATCTCGTCCTCCCTCGATCTCCAGAATCCATGGTATGCATGAACAAATTTAATTTAAATATTGTTTCGATTTATTTATTTTTTGTGACGTTTTAGCGGTTTCTGTTTTTTTGGTGGTGCAGTCTCTTACACCATTGATGTTTAGGCCTCTGCTGAGGCTGCTAACATCCTTAGCTACCGATCCTGCTGCCTCAGTTTCCACGTTGCTCTACTACAGCGAGCTTCTTCCTCAGAACATCATCCTCGAAAGATTGGTTCGACACGAACTGCTCGATCGCGAAAATTACCTGTTCCATTTCCTCATCAACTTTTTGAGATGTTTTTGGTAGGAACTATCAAATTGTCGTTCTATATTCTAATATAAGCTGAACCATGAGGCGGGGAAAGTCCAGAAGACTAGTACAAAAACGCAGTTTGGTTTGGCATAATTCATTTCCCGTCGATTTTTTAAGAAGTTATGCGAGTAATGTCAGGAGGGAGAAATCGAACACGTGACCTAGAATGCAAGGGTAAAATACTAGCGTTCAGTGACATGAAAGCAACTTTTATGGTACTGATACACAGTCACAAGTAGCGTTTTGTGCTAATAATATAATGACATGTGAAGAGAAACTGACACATAATATTGTATTATTAACACAGAATGTCACCATAACGGTTTACTCGTGCCATACAAGTAACATGGTGGGTGGGACGTACAAGAGAGAAGCTTGAGTGGTTTAGTAGTACATGCAGATGCAGGATAAAACAGTCATATAGTCATGAAAAAGAAGGTTTATGTGATCAAACGGTTTAACCTCATGAAGTAAGGGTAAAAGTTTTGTGCTTCAGCTCATGCATTATTCCTGATGGCCATTGAAACTTCTCTATATAGTGAGATCGAGATCTTGGTAATTTCTTGTCCATCAAAATCCAAAAAATTAAACTCGCAGCTAAAGTACTAATAAGTTCTTGTGAAGAATCCTTAAGAAAATCGTAAATGGCCTGCTCTTTACTCCTTGCTCGAGCATCAGCACTGTGAGTTGCGGTGCAGTGAAGGAACAAAATACAACATCGTCAAACTTTTGCATCTCATGGTGCTGGTGCTCCAGCAAGTAAAAAGCAGATCATTTGTGATTTTATCAAGGAAAGTAGCATGGTTCGCCTTATTTACATCCCGAGAGACTACCAAAGTGTTCTTTTTCTTAATTCTCAAGTTTCGAATTTAAAGTACTTTACATTCCTTTATATCTGATGTAAAATGAAGGTTTTACCTGGCTTCCATCACAGTTATGGGCACATAATCTGCTGAACCCATGTCCGGTCGCCTCCCATCAGGCCTCGATGACGCAACTTCACTTCTCGAAATGTGGTATGCAGGTTGCTTCGGATCAGGGAAAAACATGGAATCGCTTGTGAGAATGGATACGACTTCTGCCATGGTAGGTCTATCAGCTGCATACTCTTGCACACATAGCAGACTCAAATGAATAAACTTCAAAACTTCGTCTTCAGGGCACGAGTCTAACGACGCATCCTTTAGCTCTTGAGTGTCACCTTGTTTCCACAAATCCCAAGCCTGCAATCGTTTAAATTTCATTGCGGTGATTGAGTTTTTTCTTCTCTGGTTGAAGTTGAATGCAAAATTTGATCTGTTTTAATAACTTACCAGTTCAACGAGGCTAAGAGCAGTAGATGAAACGAAAACAGTGTTCTTTTTGCCACTCACAATCTCCAGCAATAGAACTCCGAAGCTGTAAACGTCGGACTTGTCAGAGAAAATGCCTTTCATGGCATACTCCGGAGACATATAACCGCTGCATAAAATCATCATCTGCAATTAGAAAACATTCACATTTGAAGAAATGCGTATACAGAGATTTTTGAGTATACTTACTATGTTCCTACAACTCTCTTCGTCTTTGATGTGGATTCATTCTGTTCAAAAATTCTGGCCATTCCAAAATCTGATATCTTAGGATTCATGTTTCCGTCAAGTAAAATGTTGCTAGCTTTCAAATCTCTGTGTATGATTCTAACTCTAGAATACTTGTGAAGATAGAGAAGTCCTTGTGTAATCCCTTCGACTATGTTCACGCGTTGTTGCCAATCTAAATGCTTCCCTTTAGTTGAATCTGCGGTTTATTGAAATTCAAAAATAGCATGGTTAGCAAATTACAGGTGCAGGGGAAGACAGAAAAAGGGAGTCTTTGGATTTGAAAGGAGTTGTGGACAAACCGAAAAGGAAGGCGTCCAAGCTTGCATTCCTCAGGTACTCATAGATCAAAATCTTCTCTTCTCCTTGAATGCAACAACCAAGAATCCGAACAAGATTTCTGTGTTGAAGTTCAGCTATAAGTGTAATCTCGTTCCTGAATTCTTCTAGTCCCTGTCCCGAATTTCTTGCTAGTCTCTTTACTGCTAACTGTTGGCCATCTGGTAACACACCCTGCATTGTCATTAAAAGTCAGGTACCAATTTTCAGATAGCTATTGTTCGATAATTCAACGTAGATTTTACCTTGTAAACTGGTCCAAAACCACCCTCTCCAAGCTTGCTGGCAGATGAGAAATTATTCGTTGCAGCTACTATTCCAGAGAAACTGAACATCTGAAACTCCTGGCCTATACTTTTGCCTAGTTTGAGCCTGTGTACATTCCCGATTCTGGTAATTTGGGATCTCAACTCATTTAATCCTTGCTCTTGGCCTGCACAGTTTCGATGAATGCAATAGTATCTAGAGTTACATGCACGCTTAATTCATAACTATGTTCGCAGTAATGAAATCCTTTATGATTCTTAACAACTTACTGGTGTGTTGCATGAATCTACGCTTGATTTTCCTTATGTAGCACAAGTAACCTAAACGTAGCACTGTCACAGAAAGTGTAATGCTTATGATAAACCATATCCACCATTTTTTCACTACCCTTCCTGCTGATCCGATTTTTTTTCCTTCTTCAGTAGGTGTTCCATCTAGACCAACCACAAAATTAGCAATAAGTACTCGAAGAAGTTGTTGAGAGCCGGTGTATGAAACTCAAAACATCAAATTTAGGGCACAAATCATAGAGTAGGAAGGAAGAATGAGAAGATGCATACCTTTGCTACTATTCCTCCCTATAGTAAGGATATAAGTAAAGCCAAAGTAATCATTCTCTTCAAATTTTGCCCCTTCTATCATATACACACATCCAGTCCCATTGTCGGTATACAAACTTTCATATCCGATACAGGTGCAGTTTCTCCAGCAGGCAGTGTGACAATCGCTAATAGCCAAGCTAGTATCGTCATCAGCGTATAGGGATTTGACTGCAGCAAAATAACCTCTTATTGGCACAAACAGCTCAGAACCGTTCCTGCATTCTGTAATCTTCTCCTCTATGCACATTGCATCCGGATAATTCATGTTGAATTTGCATGGACCGGTAACTGTGCTCTCCCAAGTAGTCTTGTTTGGGGCTAAAACGGACTGCGAAATTTGCCCCTGTAAACTCAGTTCCCACCTTGAATATGTAGAAGTATTTTTCACGGAATAAGAAAAGTACTTCTCCTCTTTGCTTGAAACAAAAGTAAACTGAAACAAATCAACCCTTCTTGTCAATTCAGGGGATCCTAGAAAACTACCATTTTTCCATACACCACTAGTCCAGTACACATCCCCTCGCCGCCAAATGACCAGTTGGTCGGCGGCACCAGGATCCACGCCTAGCTTGAAAGCGCCTGGCTCAGGTACTTGATCACTCAACCATGAAAAAAGTGTCCAATTCTGTCCTGTCTTGAAGTTCATGCCTAATTTCATTCCGGGCAACAATGTGTTGGTCGGATGATCAAAACTTTGCCATAAAACGCTTCCGAATGCTCCATTGGAAGCTAATTGTTGCAACACAAGATTTCCTGTGTCTAGTAAAGAGGCAGTCACATTACCTGAAACTGTTTGATTGGAATCTGATACAGATATTTCCCCCCCACCGTACACAATCTTCAACTTTCCATCACTATCCAATGTGAAAACGCCCGATGAATCGCTGATTGGAGTTTTAGGGTTAGCCAACCACACTGCATCTGGATGGCTTGGAAGCCTTGTGTAAAACATGCCCAAGTAACGATCGCTGGTGGCACCGGAAGCACTTGAAGTTCCAGGACTCAAGAACCCTAGCTTGAATAAACCGCCATTTTCCGAAACAAGAAAATTCTTCTCTCGATCGGCTAGCCCTTGCCCTTGCTTGAGCAGTACAGGAAAATCTAGGGTTTGTGCATGAGAGGAAGATAAAAAAGACTGCATACAGAAACATGAAAAAAATTTCAGAATTAGCACAACATTGAGTCTCATGTTTTCTGTATGACTCTGTGGAGTTGAATTTCACTCCTCTCATTGTCTCCGTCTCCATTTTATTTGCAGCCATCTGTATAATTCTACCAGCACGGTTGACAGTTCAACCATTGATTTTTTGTTGACTTTTTTTTCATTTTCTTCAAAATTAGGCGGTTTTCGCTACGTATTTTTTGGACCATTGACTTGAATTCTGCAGTCCCTTCCAAAGGTTGGTGGAAATAATGGGAAAAAATCCTTGGGCCAACCCCATCGTCTTCACCCCGTAGGAGCTACGTGCAATTGGTATTGAAATTATGTCGATTTTTGACTTTCGATTGAATGATCAAAACTTCATTCCCAATTTCATTCCTGGTAATTATTTGTTGGTTGGATGATCAAAACTTTCCCATGAAACCTTCCAAATGCTCCATTCGAAGCGATTGCTTATACAATTACATCTACATCATATACAATTACGTCTCAAATAAGATTAAGAGTGGGCACAAGCCGTTGAGTGCATGCTTGGTTGCGGTACTAAGGATTTGTATAGGTTCTGTTCTGCCTCTTAGACACCCACATCACGAATTTGATTGTACAGGCCACCAACACATGTGAATCACATCTTTATTAGAAATATGATACAAATGTGATGCGTAAATTATGGTAAAAGTATCATCTCAACGGACTATACTCAGATTTGCATGGGTTCTAAAAATGTCTATTAGAAACCTAGTCAAATACACTAGGAAAACCTAGTCTTTCAAAATCTCCTCAAATCGTAGTTTGGCTAAACCCTACTTAATTTACGAATTTTTCCTTTAGCAACCAAATCTAAACGAAATTACCAATTCTTACGTTTAGTCTAAAAATTATCAAATGGTGTCGATTAGTTCAAGAAAACTGCTCAATTTGTTTGAATTCTTAATTATCTAATGATTTTGATCACAAGATCAATACAAAAATACTTGTTTTTTTGTTTGATCAAAGAGACAAAGAGTTCGGTTTTGCATTTTTTTAATGAACTCCACCTAGTCTTCCTGGTGGTTTAAGCACTACCCAATTTTTTTTCATGTCAAATTTGTTTTCAGACGGGTAGGTTTGAATGTCTGCTGAAAAATCGACAGATATGACTAATAAATTAAAATCCTAACAAATTAAACACCCCAAATCAAAACCCTCACTTCTCTTCGAAATCCAGTTCAGAAACTTCATCTCCATCTTGTCCTTCGTCGATCTCCAGAATCCATGGTATGCATGAACAAATTTAATTTAAATATTGTTTCGATTTATTTATTTTTTGTGACATGTGTTAGCGGTTTCTGTTTTTTTGATGGTGCAGTCTCTTACACCATTGATGTTTAGGCCTCTGCTGAGGCTGATAACATCCTTAGCTACCGATCCTGCTGCCTCAGTTTCGACGGTGCTCTACTACAGCGAGCTTCTTCCGCAGAACATCATCCTCGAAAGATTGGTTCGACACGAACTGCTCGATCGCGAAAATTACCTGTTCCATTTCCTCATCAACTTTTTGAGATGTTTTTGGTAGGAACTATCAAATTGTCGTTCTATATTCTAATACAAGCTAAACTATGAGGCGGGGAATACAAACTTGAACGCCATCCGAGTTTTTTTTCTGCATTTTTGAAACCGTTATTTATTGGTGATTCGTGAGCGTTCGAGTTGTAATACGTGAGTTCATATCATATAATGAGATATATTTTACAGTTATTCTCTGTATTTGTTTGGATCTGAGAGTTCAAGAGAATGTCGTAAATGTGCACATGTTATTAGTTAGGTGCACATTTTTTATGAACCAACATAGACAATCCAAATTTGCATCTCAAATTTTGTAAAATTTATATATTAGTTTTTGGGATGCGCAAATTAGATTAATTAAATTCCAAATTAGTTTCGAATCTCCTCGAACCCAAACGTAAAAATCTCTTCGAGTCCTTGTTACGGCCTCTTGCATGTCAACGAGATATTTTCTAGTTTGATTTAGGCACAATTAGTGGGCTGGAAAGGGATCCTTTCCACATCCCTTCCTCCTAATCTACCAAGTTCGGAGATCGAAACTATTAAAATTTGACCCAACGATTATAAATAGAGATCAACTTTAAAAGTTATAATAACTTTAAGAGGAAGCGATCTGAAGAGGATCTCTTTTCCAGTGGGCTTGCCAACTTCAGCCACAGTCATGTGTTTGCACAAGTTTCGCACTCCTATAATCATAGGGATCACTGGGCCAGCACATGATAATAATGTTGTTAGCTTTTGGGCAACTGGCCCATTTTGAAAAGGTTATTTTTGGTAATTGACCTCATTTATCAAACATGAGCTGGCATTTTGAATTGTTATGGGTTGTAGCCTAATTTTAAGGAAAAAAAAAAAACTCAGATGAGAGACATTCCGAAGATGTCATTTTTTTTTTTGGAAACTTTCCGAAGATGTCATTCGTATAGTATTTTTTACAAAATACATGAGATTTTCTATTTTAATTTCATTCGACCTCACATTTATTTTTTCTTTTACGAGAGATGTCCTAGTAGGGTAGTCATACCGAATATTCACTCTACTTTAAGAGTCATTATTTAATGGATCACTTGTAAGTATTTGTATTTAAAACGTTTTCGGTCATTTTAAAAGTACTTTCAAACAAGTCCATAGAAGATTGGAAAAGTGATTAGAATCTTACACATTAAAAAAATAAACCCTCTTTACCAAAACCTAAAATCTTGTATGCCTTGTTTGTGCAGGAATGTTAGCTAGAGAGAGATGAAGGGGTTGGTGGTAGCTTAGATATTGGAGGAAATTGAGAGACAAGTGTCTAAATATTCGATAGTTATGTCCCTTTTAATTAGTGGAAGTAACATGTGGTAGGTTGCTTAATTTGTCCCCAAACACACAACTAACAAGTGGATTAGTTTAATTAATCATTTGACTAATTGGATGGTTTTGGTCGATGCAATGTCGAATCCAAATTCCATACGTAGTGGGGTGGTGATGCAAAACCGTAAAGCCTAATCCATCCACGTTAGCTTCTAACTTCCTGTGAATGGGGCGTGCAGCAGCCTGCACACGTGGAATATGTGACAGCACCGTCTTACTTTGATTTGTATCCTCTTCGAACCTCATAATGCAGAATTAAGATTAAAAAATTCGACTATTTGAGAGAGAATGAGAGATTTAGAACTTTAGTTTGTGTGAGGTAAGTTAACAAAATGAGTTAATTAGAACCGTCATATTTAATTTGAATGGTTCAAATTTTCTTCTCTTTAAGCTCAGATATTAAGATCCAGAAAGAATCTCTATTGGATTTGTTTGAGCCAAAAGTAACCGAAAATCGAATGGTGTTTCTAAGTATCTTATACTTTGCGGTTTTAATTTTTTATTTTTTGTAATTGGATTTTAGTCATTTAAGAATTTGAACAGACAAAAATATTAAAATAAAATACCGCAGAACTTACTAGAAATTAAAAATAATGACATCTCTGTTGAAGAGAGAGAGATATGGAGTTAGTTGAACAAAATAAAATTATACTCTTGCACGTTGTAGCAAAGTGACAAACTACCACTTGAATGTTTGATGTATATCATTTTCATTTTCAATCACATATTATTTGATTTAATATTTTGATTTCCACTCATGCCTTTCCGGTTTGAAAATCTCTTAAATTATTGTAATAATTTAAAATCTTTCGCCCTCTCTTAATAATAATAAAGTTTTACAAAAAATCTAAATAAAAAATTATGCTTGCACTTTCTATTTTAATTATTATGACTGTTTCTCATATTATACAACAATTTCTTACTTTTGATTGTGAATTTTGAAAAAACAAAAACAAAAAAAGACACCCACACAGTGGTGAGATTCATAATTCTATTTCAAACTCAAAAGAAACGTCGTCATCTGTGTGGATCTTGATTAATTACTTTTGCATGTTGAGTTTTTTGTTCGATCTGCCTATCACTCGTATCCAAAGGGAAAGAAGTATTAAAAAATGGTGCAAGAGATTTATATCGCAAGTTAGTCAAGATCATTTATTGTTGCACCGATAATTCTGTGTTCTAATTATCTTGTGAATAATAAATGTAAAATATGTGATCCGCTCATAACAAAAAAGGTGATCCATTAAATATTACAAATTGGTTTTAATAGATGATCCAACCTACAACATAATAAATGAAAATGATTATACAACAAAAAAAAATTAAGGGAAGGTTTAGTAAAAATAAGGAATTTTTTTTTTAAAGGACTAGCTAGTAGTATTGCAACGGTAGTCCACTCTTTTAGGGATTAAAAAAAACTCGCAGAGGCATTTCGGTTTTCCTTGACCACTATTGTGTGATTCACTAGCGGAACATTTTCATATGCCCACCATCGTGTAATTCACTATGGGGATTTTTTTTTTTTCAAGGACTAGCTGGTGGTTTTGCCATGGTAGTCTACTCTTTCAAAAAGACTCAAAGAGATATTTCAATCTCTACTAACCACTATCATGTGATTCACCAGCACGGCATTTTCATTTAACCACCATCATATAAGTCACTAATATAAAAAATTAAACTAAAATGTACCGTATAAAGTACGGACTTAAAATTCATTCTCAAATACTATACCACCATGTGGTAGTTGAACAATTTTAGTTTATTATGCTAATCTGCGTACCACCCAAAAAAGAATTAACGTTTTTTAGACGAAATTCTGATAAATCGGTTAAATGGCCGTTATCAACCGTTCTGGCTCGTATCCGTTTTCTGCTGTCAGGTCAAAAATAATCATTTCATTGTCCCATGAAATGAAAGCAATATATAACAAAATTAAAAAAATTCCATAATTAAAAAAATAATAATAATTACCACAAAAATAATTAGAAAAATGAAGAATGTAACCCAAAGTCCAAACCAAAGCACTTGACGGTCTGGGTCCAGCTCACCAGATTCTATCAACTCCTGGAGGGCTGACTCGTCATTTACCCACCTTGACTTCATCACTCTACCCTCACCCGACACCCTCCCACTGCGCCTACAAGGTACTATTCCCATCCAACGGCCACGATCTCCCCACCCCGCCGGGCCATCCGCCGCACTCACCACAACCGCGCTATTCCCCAAAATACCCTCTTTAACGTCACAAAAACCGGTCGTTACTCGCGTCAACGTCGTCATGATAGGTGAAAGCGCAAGGACCTTATTGTCACAAAAGCTTTCTCTTTCCCATCAGTTTAGTGGCCGGGTGGCGAGAGTTTTAAAAATGTCCTGAAGCGGCTTCAGAAAAGCGAGAGAGAGAGAGAAAGTGAGGAGAGAGAGAGAGAGAGAGACTTTCTTCTTCTTCTTCTCCTTTCTTGCTGTTATTGTTCGAGTTCTTTTGCACTGCAAGCTTCTGTCAATGCGTGCTCTTACAGTCTGAGTCGCCGAGTCGAATCGTTCACCGAGTTGGAGAAAAGAGAGTGAAAATGTTGGACGGGCTGCTCGGCCGTGGATTTGCCTCCAAATGGTTTCCGTTTGCTCTTAGATCTCTCTCCTTATGCACTTTCATGATTTGCATCTACTTCTGTATGTATATACGTATATAGAAACATATATGTGCTTATATATTTTCTGCCTGTTTGGTTTCGGCAGCAAAACGCTGATTAAATTGACGAAAACTCGGATCGATGTGATACGGAGGAAGAGGAACGCGACGCAGAAGTTTCTGAAGAAAGATATCGCTGATCTGCTCTCCAGTGGCCTTGATATCAATGCTTACGGAAGGGTGAGATTGATTGATTGCTCTGTTCTTCGATTTTGCATTCCGGATTTTGATTCTTCGATTTCATCTTCTTAGGTGCAATTTTGAATTTTCTATAATCTGTTTGGCCGCCGAGAAAAATTGTTTTTCCGCCTTTTGTTTTTGTATTTTGCGATATTTGCTCTTCGGATAGGATAAGAATTATTGGATTAAATTAAATAAAATGCACAAGGTCTTTTAATTAATCGGAAATTAGACAAAAAAAATGATGTTGATGTGGACTTAGTTTTGTTTTGCCTACTTGTACACCTAAAATAATTAAGTGTTGTATAATTGGTAAATACAGGCTGATGGACTCACCGCGGAGGTGATCCTTTCGTCGTGTTATGATTTTGTCGAGCGTTGCTGTGATTTGGTCCTCAAGAATCTTTCAGTTATGCAGAAACAAAGGTATGCCGTGTCCTTGAGTTGTCGTGCGAATTTAGAGATTGTTAGATGCCAAAACCGATCACTCAATTTTCTTCATCTATTTAGCGTGCAACCGATATCAGATTGAATACTTTTGCCAATATGATGCTCTTTTGATATGTGCATCTTGTACATGTTATGTTCAACTTTGTGAATTATCGTATTTTATGTTATGCACATTTTGCAATTTGTGGATGATCGTGTTATAAGTCGCAAAGATGGGTGTAGATTTAATTAACATCAAGTGAGGTGAATGTAGTTTGATTACGGGGAATACCTGTAGGGAAAAATATTGATTTGAGTGAAAATAAATGAAGAACTATCCGCGTGTGGACATATTGTCATGTGTTTGCAAACTTTCACAAACGCAACTTGTATAGGATTCTGCCTCGGATATTATCAGCTGATTCTACGTCACTGCTCCATTTTGTTTGTTGACCTAATATGATTTCTTTAACATCATACACATTAAGATATAATCCAAACCAAATTGTTTGGTTTCTTGCTAAAGGAAATGCCGGTCCTGTTCTTAAATTTTTGTTCATGCATTAGTTTAAAAACACTTAATTCGAACTCAAAATAACGTTTCCTTTGCTATATTATTTACTTTGTAGTGAATGCCCAGAGGAATGTAAGGAACCTGTGTCATCGCTGATGATTGCTGCTGCACGGTTCTCTGATTTACCAGAGTTGCGTGACCTTAGGCAACTATTTCAAGAGAGATACGCGAATGCTCTGGATTTATTTGTGAATCAAAAGGTAATTATTTATCGACATGCTCATAAAGAACTTTATGCATTCATAAATGCTTTAAGCTAACCTACTGCATTATTAATTGATAGTTTGTTGAGAACATAGCTTCAAAGCCTCCTACACTGGAGAAGAAGGTGCAGTTAATGAAAGACATAGCAGTAGAGTTCTCAATAAATTGGGACTCCAAGGCCTTTGTACAGAGCATGTCGAAACCTCCTTCTGCAATTCCACAGGTATGTTCTACTCTGCTGTTGGTCAAAAGCGTTGCTTTCTCAAATATAACGTCACTTGCGGATTGGATTTTGCAGGACAAGCCAAAAACTTATGGGCCTTCCCATGTTAGTGATGATAAAGCCAAATTGTCTAGCGGGAAATCTGCTGTTCCAAAAGGAGATAAGCATAATCTTTTTCCAACAGAAAAGAGACTTGATTTTAATGATGCTCAGAAATTACACAAGGAGAAGGATGGTGCTGTCTTGAAAAAGGAGGAGCACGTTCATCAAACTAGGCATAAAGCCTTTGGAATAGAACACAAGTCTCTCAGTGCCAGGGAAGATACTGTGGAAAAAGATGGCCTTGGAATTTTGTTCGGGGAAAGGCAAGAAGTGGCTTCTCACAAATATGAAGCATGGACTAGAAGGAGGACGATCACGTTCATCAGACTAGTCATAGACCCTTTGGAAAAGAGCACAAATCTCTTAGTGCCAGGGAAGATACTGTCATGGAAAGAGATGGCCACAGAAGTTTGTTCCGGAAAGGCAACAAGTTGCTTCTCACAAATATGAAGCTTGGAATAGAAAGGAGGATGCTCCCCCGAAGTCAGTCAGATTGGGCAGTTCATCTCAAGGAAATGGACAGGAGAAGCATCATGAGAGGGAGAACAATGTTCCTAAAAGAGAGCATGAAGCTTTACCTTGTGTACAGCCAATTGTTGCTGGACCTCATGTGAAAAGCAACGGTCAAGGCTTATTTGCTGGTGATAATTATGGTGGCCAACACAGTGACGCAAAATTAGCAATTAAAGAAGAAGAGATGCCGAAGTTGAAGCCCCCCTACAATTATGGGGCCCCTCCTCCGTATGTGAAGCCGAATGCCAAAGCAAAAGATCGAAAACATGAAGCCAAGGATGGTTCTGGCAGTAAGCGCATCACTAAGGATCCTGTAGCATACAACATAGCCTTTGTTGACAATATACTCGGAGGGGTAAACGTAGGATCTGATGATGAGGATGAGATGCCTGGTGCTGCAAAAGCTAATAAGCATAATCATGAGAAGGATCGTGCTCATCGGGATGATGCATCTAGCAACCACATACCAAAACCAAGATCTTCCAGGGCAAGAAGCTCAAGATCACGGTCCTCTCACAATGATGCTGGAAACAGTGAAGATACAGAAGTTGGAATCAGAAAAACAAGAAGCAGGAGAAAGGATGAGTCACGACGAGGTCTGCAACTGTTGTTTGATGACGAGCACTACAAAAAGGATGAGGAAGAGAGGAGAATGGACGAGCTTCTGATTCATTACAGTAAAAAGCCATCTAACGTTGAACCAGAAATGTCAAGAAGAAAGTCGAGGAGTCGTCATGCACATCATCATGCCGGCACTGGTGTTAAAGAATCCCCAGGACAAGCAAGCAGAGATGAGTCGGAAACGGTTCCTACAGCAGTAAGATCAGTTTCCCTTCCTAATGAACATAGTGGTCCATCAGAGGCACCCAAGGTATTTGCTCGTGCAGCGTCCTTTCAACCCGACAGGTCCAATCCAGCTAAGCATGTGCATCCTAAGCTTCCAAACTACGAAGATTTGGCCGCCCAATTTGCAGCCCTAAGAGGAAGGTAAAGGGTAAAAGCAATCAGTATTCAGAATCTTAGTTGTATCAGCTCGATGGCGACCATTGTTTCCGGTAGTTGAGTGGCCCGGTAGCATCCGAGGGTCGGTCTTTTATACCTCACACTGCATCTTATAAACCATATACATACCGAAATTTCAAATCGTTGGACTCATCATTGTATAAGTTGCTATAGTGTCTTCAGCTTCAATTGATAGAGATCTCAGAATCTCACAGGAACTTGAGGATTGAGTTTGAGAATGCTTTCTTCTTTTTGTATCATATCTCCGTCGTCATAAAATGACTTGTTTACGTGGTTATTTACGTTTTCGTTTTGTCCCGATATTACGCGATGACATTTTTTCAATGCCAATAACAGTTACCGGTTGAGAGGTAAATTTGTGATCCTCACAAAGCAAAAATAAAGCTGCATATGATAGATGTTCTCTTTTTCATTCCTCTCAAAACGAAAAATCTTGTTGGCTTGAGGTTGCCGCTTTTGTTTAACAATCCTTCATCTTCTCACTCTTGTCCACACCATTTACCATCCTCGCTCCGGCCCTAGTTGACTCCTTAATCCTCATATCGATCTTAACGCCATAACAGAACTTGGCAACTATCTCAAAGGTCTGAAAGCTGTCGGAGAAAATTCTTGAATTGCGTCGTCGTTTTTGTTAATTTGTTCAACAATCCTCACATGTGTCACGTAATAAGAAGGTGATAGGATTGGAGATAATCCACCTCCTAGGATTTGACCGTAACTGACAGTTGCCCAGATAGTGTAGTAATAATAATGGTGTTTAAACTTTAGTGTTGGTGCAAAATCACCAATATGACCTTGATTGTCAGAAGGAAAAGCCTTTACATTCCCCAGGCCTTTTTGCCCTTTCCAGATTCCCTTCCCTTGTCAAAGGTAAGGTACCGTTTTCCCGCCAAAAATAAAGCTGCTCGGTCTCCAATATAATCAGGACACCCTTTTCCTCCCTCAGTCCACCAGAGTATAGAGAGAGAAAGAGAGAGAGAGAGAGAGAGAGAGAGAGATGAAGGGCACATCGAAGGTGATAATGGGGGCCACACTGGTGATGGTGGTGAGCCTCGCCATAGTCTTAGGCTTAATCCTGGTGCTGCTGGCGGAGCTCTACTGCTCACTCTTCCTCCGCCGCCGCCAGCACAAAACCAACAGCTCCTCCAACACCGCGGCCTCCGCCGCTGACTCTGCAGCCGCCGCCACAGCTGCTTCTGATCAGCCCTCAACACAGCAGCATCAAGAGAGTCAAGACCACCCAACTGGTCCTCCTCTCGGCAGCTTCTTGGGCATTCTTCGCGCTCCGAGAAGCTTCCTTTTCCCACCGGTTACTTCCAAAGAAGAAGACAATGCAGATATAAAGAAGCAGCATTCTCAGCTCCTCCACCAGGTTTTCGACATCCCGGTCCGAAACCAAGATATATTACCAAACGCATCTCCCCGCCATATAGGGGTAATTATGTCAAGCCCCTCCCCGTCAATTTCTTTTGTAACTTCCCCACAGCCAACCCCAGAACACAAAATCACCGCCAGTCCCGGTGCTAATTGTAACGAAAAAGCTGGCGCTGACGCTGGTTGTGGTGGCGGAGCTGCAGAACATTTTGTGTACATTTCCAACCCCATTTACGACAACGAAGCGATGAAAAGGGCGAGCGGAGCAAACACTCCATTCGAAACGCCGGACACGTCGCCGTCGAGGTTGGAAATGGGGGGTTCTTCTTCTTCAAGCTCCGGGGAGGAGGAGGTTGCGCAGCCGACCCCGTCTGGTCCGTCAAGCCCAATTACCACGCCTCCTTTGACTCCGATGAAGAAGCTCCCTGCGGAGGCTTGCTCTGTTTCTCTCAGAGATGCCAGATCTCTAGGCACTTCGGGTAGTGATTCCAATAGCAACAATGGCCTCTCTTCCTCCTCCTCTGGTTCTCCTTGTACTTCTCCTTCATGGTGATTAATTAGAGTTTTTTTGTTTTTTTTTTCTTCTTGTGATATCCACATCTCTTTTTACTTTTTCTCACACATTTTTGGTTTTCAGCTGTTGGATCAAATGAATTAAAAAAAATCAACGTACAAAAATTACGAAAATTAACCAGAGGTGTGTAAAAAATAAAAAATGATGTGGATAGCACATCCCTTTTGCTTTTTAATTATATGGATATTTTATCCTAACAAATGTGTTAGTGAGTATGTTTTATGTCCATCTAGCTTTGTTCATCTGTTCGATTCTTAGTCTAGGATATTATCTGGTAAAAAAAGAGATGGGTCTTTTTTTGTGCAACGAGAGAGATTAACTTTCCTACAACGGGATGCGACTATGACGACAGTAAATTTCTGGTAGAGTTGCCCTAATAAAGTAGTTCTCATATTAGGTAAAATTTAGCGGGATTAGGTGTGATCAAAATACATGGAGGTTTTATTTGTGAGAAAGCCCCACAAATGAAGTGGCCGATACTCCTATCCAAGTTTTCCTCTTGTGGCAAGAGACATTTACATGCACCCCTAAGACGCCACTATTGCGTCCCTAACCAAATAATACAATGCTTTGTAAGAAACTTACAACATATAGCACTATATTATTGTCTATGGACGCCAAAGCGATCACGAGGGCTGTATGTATGTATGTTTCTTTTATCGTGGCGGACTCAAGCTAATCATACAATGCTAAATGTGACAAATAAAACGGATAATTTTTTGTAATTGGTCTAAGATGTTGTTACACAATAATACTGTTGGTAATTCAGTTTATGGTAAATGGGAAGGGTAAAAGTTAGCAGGAAAAACAGAGTACTACAATCAGCTTTTCACTGCATGCGTTGGCCATGGCCCGTCTATCCAAGCCATGCCATGCCAAATTGCCAACCGGGAACTTCTCTCTCTTTTTCTTGTCTTACTTCCCAAACTGCAGAAGCAGTGAGCTAGAAGTGCTTTTTTTTTGTTTTCACCTGCTTTTGTACTAGTTTTTGGAAAGCAGTTTCATCGCATTTTACTACATATTTAACGTTTATTTTCGCTTGGGATTGTGAGAAATTGGATGGGGTGTGCACGTGAAATGTAACAAAAATTAAACAAAGACACAAAAAATTAAAAATAGAAAAAAAAAGTCTCTGTTTTTTAGGGGCCTCGAATTGAGAAAACCATGCATTTGAAGACTTAAATAAACAGAAACTGTCACCTGCTGCAATGGGAGGTCTTTGTCCACTTTGGTAAGGACGAGAGAGAGAGAGAGAGAGAGAGAGAGAGAGAGAGAGAGAGAGTGTGTGTGTGTGAGAGAGAGAGAGAAAGAGTCTTTGGTTTCTATCCATTGATTTGTTTCTTAAATTGTTGTAGCAGTTTCGGCGAGATGTTGTACTTATGCTCCATTACTGGAGATGCACTAATAACAAAAAAAGGAAAAGAAGGACAAAGAAACTTAAATTAGGATGAGGAGGAATCATAAAAAATCTAAATGTTGTGACAATTGATTGAACATTGCAATTGTTTGGTGGAACTGTTGAGTAAAGAATAAACTTTGTGTATGTTTATAATGATTGAGTTATTCTATATATTATTAATTGATTTTTGGGTAATACCACAATTTTTTTCATAATATCAGAGCCAACAACCACACCTACTTTACGTGACTCAATTTGTGTTGTTCACGTGTTTGACTTGAAAATTTACTATACGTGAGGAGGCGTGTGAGAATGTGAAGATAAAAAAGTCTCCACATCGGTGAAGGGACAAACCTTGCAAGGATTTATAAGAAATTGAATTACTCTCTATATTGCCAATTAAATTTTATGATGGAATCTCAATTTTTTTTATAATATCAAAACAGTTGTCTCAATGTAATGTCCAACGACAACCTCAACTTCCTCATAAATTTTGAAGGGTTTTAGGCTTTGGATGCCAATTTGGCCCCAAACTCTGTCAACATGTACTTAAAAAAAACTAACTTCCAAGGGTACCGTGGGATAGGACCACCATGACCAAGGACCAAGGTCCTATAATTTAAGGGGAAAAGGCCAATGGCCAAGGACCAAGGTCCTATAATTTTAGGGAAAAAGGTTTAAAAGCATTGACTAACAGAAGCACAAACAAATTGGTCATAATCATCTAGTAATCTCAGTAAATGAGATAGCTTTGTCGGATATCACGTTTGTGGACAAATCTTTGAGTGTAAACCTTTTAATATCACTATATCTTCATCTTTATTTATCTTATTACGTAACCAATCATTTAACGAAAGATATGTATGAAACGAAATAATAGAACGATTACAATAAACCATATGTTTCCACGGCACTAATGAACAAGCTAACAACAAGAGGAGCTTCGCTGTCCCCCTTGTAGTATACCCCTCTCTCCTCCGCACTCGAGAGAAACATATCTACAATCAAGTTTTTGGACAATGGTTTCTACGCTTCTCGTAATGTGTTGATGAGAGTTGTAGGAACAACTACCCCTTTACTCAGGGTACATGAGTATATCTCGTCGGACGGGGATAAATAGGTAGGTTAGTTTTCAACTTTTGAGCACGAAATTTTATTAATCATACAAGCGACACTAAGAAAGAGTTGATTGTTTTATTGGCTGCCATGGCACGTTTTTACACGTGACATTTTGCTTCTCATTATTATTATGTTCCACAATCACTCTCTAACATCAATTAACAAAATGAAATAATTCTTATAATTTGTACAACATATACTAAGGAAATTCATATTTGTAACCGGTTGGCAAAGCTTGCAGATGGACCTTCATCTCTGGTGGAGCCACAGTTTTCGTTAGTTTCTCCATCTTGTTGAACCACGTCCTTGAATTTGTTCGTAATCCTGTTAAAAGAAGTTTACCAGCTTTCAAATCGTCGAATTTAATGAGAAAATAAAACACAGTGAACAAAATTGAAATCGAGTCAAGACACAGCGAACGAAAAATGCATACCGAAATCATCAAGACTCAAGTGCAACAAAACACTCTCCTGCTGGGTTGCTGTGATCTGATGTGTAATTTTATCCCAGCTTGACGAGAAGGGCTAGCTTTGGCCACTTTTTTTGCTGCAAAAAGACTTGTTCTCATAAGCACATTTCAAAAATATTTGCTAATGACCTGATAGGGTGGGAGACATGGGCATAGCCACATTAGCTAATTAGAGTGGATATGCTCCCTCATTGCGCCCGAGTTTGAATCCTTATCCCATAATTTAGATTAGTTTAAAGTAGAATATCGCTTGTATCGGAAAAGGAAAACATTTTAAAAGGGTGATAAGTTCGTACCTATTTCATAAAAGAGCTCATTGACATTCTGTGCAGTTTTTGCAGATGTTTCAAGAAAAACCAAGCCATGTTCCTTAGCATATTGCTCAGCTTCCTGCAGCCAAAAATAAATTCAAAAATATAAATTTCATGAGAAAAAAATGAAGAATCGATAAATTACATTATATGAAATGTGTCCTGGTGAAGAGTGAATACCTCAGACCCTACTTTTCTCTTCTCTTTCAAGTCAGCCTTGTTACCAGCCAAGAACATTATTAATGTTGGATTTGCTGATATCAAAACAACATTTTCAACAAATTGAAGTTAGTTTGCAGTTTGAACAATATCAAACTTCACTCGAATCCATCCGAGAACTAATCAGAAGTACAAAAACTGTCTTGCATTTACCTTGTCGTTGCAATTCTTGAACCCACTTTTTTGCTCGGACAAATGACTCCTGCAGCCAAAAAACAACAGAGATTGAACAAAAGAGGTCGCTGCCAAAGTGTTATTAAATCTTTCGACAGATGACAATCCAACCCAATCCTAGGCACCGAACGAGCCACAAAAGTATTATCTGACGTTCTACAGGTTATAAATGCCTAATACAAATCTTTCTGTTGCTAATCAGTAAGCACATTAAGTTCATTAGCAGTCATTGTTCAAGGCATAACAAATGCATGAATCGAAAGAATTCCAGATAGTTCCCATACCATGCTTGTGATATCATACACCACGACAGCTGCAGCAGCGCCGCGGTAGTACATAGGAGCCAGGCTGTGGTACCTTTCCTGGCCGGCGGTGTCCCATATATCGAATTTGATAGTAGCTTCATTTAGTGACAGAACCTGAGTGAAGAAAGCTGCTCCAATTGTTGATTCCTGCAATTTTTACAGTAGTTATATTAATCAAAATCCACGAACAAATATTCTAGTATTCTACATTTATGTACAAACAAATTAAATATTTGATCCGAAGTGAAACCTGGTACTCCAAAAATTTTCCAGTCACAAATCTCAGTACCAAACTTGTTTTCCCAGTTCCCATGTCCCCAAGAAGTACCTGGAAATAATCATAAGAACCAAGTTAATCAATTTACCAAAATACACTCTCCTCTTTGCTGATTTTCAATGTGAAATTATATTTACTTAAAAATTGTAACGATCTCAACAATCTAATACTCGAATGCAACATATGCGTCTAAGGAGTTTGATTCCTATAAAGTATGGCTCTTGCAACGATTAAACTGACACCACTTTAGCTAGGAATCAAACTCACGAAACTTAATTTTATATGTAGCTAGGAGTCAAACTCCCGTTAATTAGAATCTACGAGTCTTAGTTTGAGAACTACGAATTACAATCCGCGAGAGTCCTAGTTGAGAACTACGAATGTAATATTCGAATTTAAAGACAAAAATGCAGCTTGAATTATAATTCAGGAACCATCGCTACAATCAAACTCTAAAATCATATATCATCATGGACGGTGCTCATCAAGTTAATCAGAATCAACTAAGCTTAAAAAGTATAATTATATCAAAACTCATTTAATCTCACAAAATTACTACAAAGATAATAGTAATTAGCAATAGCTAATTAGATCATGCACAACTAATTAAGTGAATAAAAAAAAGGAAAAATATATAAAAAGGAAGACATACCCACCAGCTTGGCTTGTATATTCTTACTGCCAGATCTCGCCATGTATCTCGATTAAAAGTACTTCCAGCTTTTTTCTCAAAAATTCAGAGAAACTCAGGAACAAAAGAGATAAAGATTTCCTGGTTTGGAAGCGAGAACTTAGCAAAGGCACTTATGAGGCCCCGAGAGAAAGAAGAAAACCAGAAGATCAGATACACGAGAATTGCTAACTACCAGCACCCGTTTTACTATTTCCAGTTCCAGGGGATGTTTGAAGCACTAGATTGGCCTTTGATCACTAGGTAAAAGTCCTGGAAGGAGGAAGATTTGTAGTGGAAATATCATTTCCAACTGACTGGTAGTTTGTTCGTTGACTGGTAGTTGTTTTCTAGCTGCCTTTTTTTTTGGTATGTTTCTTCCATTTTCTTCACTGCTCTTGTTTTCTTTCTTTTCCATTTTTATTTAGCTTGTTACTTTCAGTGCATGGTACTGGATCCAGCCAGATGAAGAAGGAAAACTCGGGAATCATCAAAGTTTTTGCACTTTTCCAAGTTTTCTTAACCCGTACGACATGCCTTTCAGATATCGATAATCGAATTTCGGGCTGTATTTAAAGTTTTAGTCTGCTAATAACCATTTCATTTTTTATTTTTAATTCGCACTTTTTTGTGTTTGTGATATCCATAAGCAATATTTGCGATAAAAATTAAAAACAAAATAATTATCAAACAGACTTTTAGATTATTGAACTCCCACCTTATCAAACTTGAAATCAAATATTCAATTCTTTTATATCTACATGCAAACAATCTCAAGGAAAAACTCAAGTTTAGAAGTAATTTTCTCTAAACCATTTGAATAACAAGAAAAATTGCATTTTTAAAAGAGACAGAGATATAAAGGGATATTTTTCATTTAGGTAGATACATTTTTATAATCAAACCAAAATACAGTATACTAACTGCCTCTTAAATTAAGTTTATACGAGTAACAAGCCAGCCGACTTGTATTGTTGAATTTCATACGCTATCTTGATAACTTAAAAAGGTTGTCCCTATCATCTAACGAAATGAAACTTGCGGGGATTGGAACTGGAAAGGTGACAGGGCTTGTTTAAAAGTGATTTTGAAATGGTTGAAAAGACTTTTGTTAGTACTTGTCTTTAGTACAAATGTAAGTGAATATTGAAAAAGTACTTTAAGTGTCATCTAAAAAGCACTTGAACTACTTCCTGTAAGAAGCACATAACTAGTGTTTTTTGCAGGAAGAAGCATTTCAAGTACTTTTAAAACTCAAACATATTTTTTAAAAACGTTTTCAGTCATTTTAAAAGCACTTCCAAACGAGCCCTTAGGCACCACCTCAAATTTCAAATATTAATAAAATAAAAACTAAATAAAGGTTTGTAAGGATGTATTTCATACAAAATAATACGAATATATATAACCGTGTGAAATCTAGTTGAAATTGCAGTAGTATGAGACAGCTCATAGCCTAATATGTTTGAGTTTGATTTCAAAGATGTACGCCAAATTAAATATTACATATTTGGAAAATGGTTTTATATTAAGATCATCTCCTTGCATAAGCAAATTATTACTAACAAGCATTCTTGCTTTAATATAAGACTATCCCACATTTTTATTTTAACTCGCAATGTTTAATAACTTGATTGCAATGAATATTTTAATGATTACAGATAGGGTATTTTCGGTTGGATGGCATCGGAAACAAGCATTCCAATGCAAATCTAAAAAAGTATCCGAATCAGATATTAGTTCCAATTTCGTTTGGATTATTGGAGATTCTCTGAAACTTCTTTTCGATTTAGCAAGCATTGAGAACTTGTTTTGGCTTTTTTGCTTTCTCTCAACTAAGAGATGCAGAAAAGTCATACATGATAGAAACTAAACAAGCTTGCAACAAACAAATTGCCAATTTCAATTTCTACACATTGAACATGGATACTGTGGTCCTGTAATTTGTTGCTATGCAGCGTGGGCTAGCTAATTCGAAAACAACAGGAATACATATCAAGTAGTCATGAACAACCCATATCTTCCATATGGGATCATGTCATGCTTGGCTAAGATAATATATACATATAAACACACACATACACATATATATACATATATACACACACACACACACACACATATATATACATATAAATATATGACCAGAAGATGACAATTACCTTTAGGCTTTAGCAACAATGTGAGTGGCCAGATCTTTTTGACTTAGGGTTAGGGAGACCACATGGACCATGCATGATCTGGTGTAAAAATAGCAGACTAATCAAAATCTACTCCGCACGTGGACAATCAGCCACATTGCATATAGTTTATAATTCCTTCCACATGGAAACCTCATCTTCGTGTAACCACTAGCCATAGCCACTCACCTTAGTGATCTCAACATCACCCTTTTTTATCTTCAAGTCTTCTTCGATATCGATATCAACTTTATTTCTACTGACAGAAGTCATGAATCGAGAAGTTAGAAATAGCTAGCTATGAGAGAAAAAGCATTGGGATGAGATCAATTATTCCTCCATGATTGATTAATTTGCCGTGTGTTTCTTGTATTCTGTATGTATTAGTAAACTCGGGAGACAAAATTAAAATAATTCTCCTAACCATGTATTAGAGATCATAAAAAAATATAGAATCAAAATATTTTATTTCTCGTTCCAAGCAAATAAACATTTCATGATTTGCCTTTCACTTTTTCCTTTTAAAACAATATTGCCTTTTACACTGGTTAAAAGTTATTATATGAAGAGTTTGAAAAAGCTTAAAACTCTTAAGTGGGTGGATTATCCTACTCTCTTATCTAATACATAATTAATTTTTTTAGAAGTTCACATAATGACTCCTCATCTGTTTTTAGTCACCCTTTTTCAACCTTTAGACCAGATTAGCATAATAACTAAGACTTTAGAGTTTACTAATTTCGTGAAAAGTACAGATATAGGTTAGCAACAACAAACAAATTAACTTATCCACTTGGATTTTCTGTATTAAACCATTAGTTAATATATGTCATAACCTTATATCCGAATTACATCTAATTTTCTAGTTATTTACTAATAATGTCGGTAAACTTGTTACAGTAATATGTGATGTTAATAATTAAATATTTTTAATTTGGTTACTAGGAGACAAATAAAGGTAGGAATCAAAGGGTACAACTTGATTGCCTTACTTGATCACTTCAGACCTCACACTCTTCGAGGATAAATCTTTTTTTCCCTTATAATTTATCTCCTATATATAAAGCCAGTCTGGCAATAAGTTTCCACATAAACTCTTCCTTAGTTAGTATCACTATTCTCTATCAAAACATGGCTTCCCATGGCAATGGTCTGAAAGTCTCAGTTTCTCCAAAAAATGGTGACAACGCAGAAGCTGCATCATTTACTTCACCAAAAGGCCGATGTCTGTGCTCACCAACGACACATCAAGGCTCTTTCCGGTGCCGTTTTCACCGGTCCCAGTCATCGACTTGGATGAAGCGATCAAAGTCCATGCCTAGCAATAATAACTCAGTGGCTTCTTTCTCTCCCACATCAGTGCATGATCAGTCTACTTAATTAATTAAAGTCTGCAAGAAAGTTTGGTGATACATCCTTCCGATTAGCATCTTAATTAATTAATCCTACTATATAGTAGTTGTATAAACAAATAGGTATAAGGAAATATTGCCTCCGTGTGCTGAATTCAGGTGTACGTGTTTTTTATATGAATAATATGATGGATGCATGTGTTATACTTTTATCTTTATTAATTAGTGTTTCTCTAATTTCTGAACAATCAAAGCACCCATCAAAAATATATATATATATACACGCGCATAAATGTATCCATTTTCATCAAAATAGTACTAAGTACTCATTGGTAAAATTACTTGAGAAATACGTATAGGCAAGATTGATCTTGACAAGTGCAGGTAGTGCCACCTCACAAAGCTCTCAATTTTTATTTTTTATCTTTTATTATGAAGAGTACTGGCTGTTATGTATTGCCTCCTTTCATTCTTCTTCTTTTCTCTAGACGATAATATGGATATCTGAAAGAGATGAGTTTTGTAAGGCTAAGATTTTAGTCAGTTTATATATATCAAGTGCATATCATATGCAATACCTGATATTTCTTTGTTAACGGCTTCAATAACAAGTAGTAGTAGAACGATATCTTATCCCATGGTATTGGATGCTTGCGTGCAGTCGCATTCTTAGTCTTTCATGTCAAACTTTCTTGGATTCATTCGTCGAAACCTTTATCCAAGGTTCCAAAAGATTTTAGTCCAATCCATGCATTTTTCTAATTATTGTAGGAGCAAAAGGAGTGGTAGTGAAAACACTCATTCTATAAATTCAAACTTTCGATCTTTTCGTTATCGTATCCAAGTAAATACAAGATGAGAATAGAATAATCTTTATGACCAACATATTTGAATTTTAAAAATAATATTTTAAATGCGTTAGTGAAAAATCATTTGACAATAATTATAATTACATAACTACTTTGACATATTATATATTATTAATGGTTGATGCCAAATTTTACACCATTTCATGTTAGAAAGGTCGGAAATGTAACGTGAACAATTTTTCATTGCTTTGAAAAGAATCAAATATTTAATTAAATCTATATATTATAATACTAACTCAACTGTGAACCCTTTTTTATGACTAAGAAAGAAAAGCGTTACGTATGGTTCTCCTTCTAAAATACTGTCCACCACTATTATAATTCCTGCAAGCGCAATAGCTTGCCTTCCGGATGTTATCTCACTAAAAATATTGCCTTAAAATGTAGATGCGTTGCAAACATCTGTAATATTGAACATTTACGATTGTTATGTAGCCGTTAATGTTGGAAGTCTACCATCTCTTTTACTTTCAGTTACATTGAAAAATTACTCCTACAACTAGGTCAATCCAGAATTAAATTTTTCACCATTGATCTAGATCCGGCATGCTAGCACTAGCTGGAGTACGTCGAAATGTGCTAGTTTTCTTTGCAGCAGCATTGGCCGGCTCAACTCTACCGTTAAGTCTAAGTAGAGCGGCCTCGTGGTACCGGCGTTCAGCATCGATTTGTTTGGCTGGGGGATACTGTGGGAGGCCACAAGGCTCACAAGCAAAAGGCGCTGTCATGAAAAACTCACTGCTCAATGCAGCCGTGGCGGTCTGCCTTTCCTCTGGATCGAATGCGAGAAGAGTTTCAATAAGTGGCAACGATGACGCCGGAAAATCTTTGAACTCCGTTCTTATGCGTCTTTCGCAGGGCACCGGCCATCTATAATATCGATTCACATACTGCAACTTTGCTGATTTCCAGTATTCATCTGAAGGTGTACCACATAATTTGTATATCTTATGTAGTTGATTCCCCTCTGTCTTGCCAGGCAAGATAGGTTTCCTAGCTAATAACTCCGCTAAGATGCAACCCGCACTCCAAAGGTCCACCCCCTCCCCGTAATTTGTAGCCCCTAGAAGCAGCTCGGGAGGTCGATACCACAGCGTGACCACCATATTCGTCATGGGACGACGCTGTTTTGACCACCGATCAAAAAATGTAGCCATTCCGAAATCAGCAATCTTAAGTACTCCTCTGTTGTCTATCAAAATATTTGCTCCTTTAATGTCGCGGTGAAGCACGCCGCGCCTGTGGCAGTGCTCGAGCGCAGATAGTAGTTGGTGCATGTAACATTTTATTTGAGCTTCAGTAAATTTAATTTCCGGCATTGCGGCAAGTCCGGCTAGATCATGCTCCATGTACTCAAACACCAAGTACAAACTACATGCCGACATCCTCGACATGATCAGACCTTCCAGCTTGATCACATTGGGATGATCCAGCTGCCGCAAAATTACAATTTCCCTAGCCATATATTTAAGGCTCCCGGGCTGCTTAACATCAAACCTAACTTTCTTTAGGGCAACAATTTTTCCCGTCACCGTATCTCTAGCTTTGTACACATTACCATAAGTTCCGCCACCGATCTTCTCAACTTTTTCAAACGTGTCTGCGCTCTGCGGAATCCACCCATTGAGTGCCTCCCCGCATGCCTCCACGAGCCAGTGTGGCCACCCGGCCGCCACCTGCTCACCACGCCATTGCTTCGGTAGAATATTATAAAGCAAACTCGGAGGTCTCTGAGCCTTATCCCCACCAACAAGAACCGCTTCAGTTCCACTGTCCACACTCAGACTGTTGTTCGATTTCTCAGTAATCACCTCAGATTCTACTCGTGAGACTGAGGACACGACTCTGCTACTCGCACAACCCATTCCAGTAATAAGATTACTTGAATCCCAAGTATCTTTCAGAGCAAGAACGATCCCGAATTTCGATTGATGTTAAGCAAAAGTTGATATGAGAATGCAACAATTCTTCACTTAGACTAATATATATACCGAATCCTGATTGTAGTAGGAAATTAATATAAGCGTAAGTACTAATTGACAAGGGAAAAGCTATAAGTTCCTAGTTGACAAAGGAAAAACTAGACCAAATCGACGCTAAATCAAGAAACTGTTTTTCTTTACCCAAAAAAAAAAAAAAAAAAAAAAAAAAAAAAAGAGAAACAAAGTTTTCAATTTTTTTTTTTTTTAAATTTAAAAAAAAAAAACCAATCCATGCCAAATCAGGAAACAGAAACATAGGAGATATTACGTAAATTTTACATATGTTTTAAGAGTGTATGTATATATAATGTAGACTTAGCCTTAGCCAGGTTGGCTCTATACCATTATGCTCTTGCTTTGCACCCAAGTTTGAATTCTCCTCTCTGTAGTTTAGATTATTTATTGTTTGTCAAGAAAAGAAAAAAACATTACATAGCAGCCATCATAGAAACTTGGAAATGGGAGAGAGTAGTATGGTATATGAGAGGCAAACAAAGAGGAAGATGAACAAATGATGAGGACGAGAGCAGCAGCAAATGCTGCTCTCCGAGCTGCTGTCGGAGGAGATGACATGCTGTCGAAATGGAAACTTATGGCCGATGGGCAAGCTCGGCGAAAAACGTCAGGGAAAGGTTGTGTTTACCGCGTGCCTACATCAACAGCCGGAGGAAGTATGAAGGACAATCGAGAAGCGGAGAAAAGGGGCGACAAAAACAACATCGTGCTCAAAACAAGGATGGCATGACGTAGTGCATCTGTAAAGGATATGATTGCTGCCCTGGAGAGGGAACCTCAGATGTGAGGTAAATGGTAATACTCTGATATAACGCTTGTTGGACGAATTCAATCCAACAGTAACAGCACTGGTGAACAATCCAAAAGTGCGAAGCATAGCGAATTTCTCTCCATGATTATTTACCAAGACTTTATTGAATACAAAAATGCTATACATATACATCAAACATCCATATCTATCCACTTCCTAAAGCTCACTCTCATACGTTAGTACTGACGTGTGCGGTAATTTTAACTAGAACGCCATGACTCGATTCCCATCCTCCGTGTCTTGTGCGAGCAACCACGAGAGGTACTCAGGCTCTAGGCCCAACTGATCTGGCAGAGTCACCCGTTTTCGTAAGAGCATTTCCACAGAGGGGCACTTCCTCTTACAGCCACCCCTTGGCGTTGACTGGAATTGCTCATCAGCCTCCACAAAATCCCCCTGCAAATCAAATCAATAATGTTCCACATATGAATCCATAACGTAGCATGTTCCTGGAAAGATGCTTATCCGAAAATCCAACATATGGAGGGTATTGAATTATCCAGGTACGAAACTCACATAGGCATATACATGGCGTCCAGTCTTCTCATGGTTATCTCTTACATGCTTGTATGCAAATCTCATGCCACAACCCGAAAAGCTGCACACAAAAGGTTTATCTTCGAGGTGTACAGCCTTGACATGTTGAGTGAGATTTGATTTCTGCAAATGTACAGCCAAAACCCGAAAAAGCAAATAATTAAAAACTAACCATGGCAACACAGAATGCCGAACAATAATTTTTTGTACCAAAATAATGCAACCATTCAAAGTCCGCAACTTACAGTTGAAAATGTTTGAAGACAACCATTATAGCTGCATTTAATTCTCTCAACTGCAGGCGCTCCCCCTTTATGGGCGAGCAGATGCCTTTTGATATTCCTTTTCAGCTTCTTGGAACCACATATCTCGCACATAACATGTTGGTGGGAGGACAAGATATGGGCCTTAAGGCATTGCTCGTTCGTAAAATATTGCATACAACCTGGTTCGGAGCAGAATGCCTCTACTGAATCCAGATGAACTACAGAAATGAAGGATATCGTTTAGAGTTTGCAAACATACCACAGAAAACATAAAGAAGAATTTAGAATTTAGATATTAAAGCTACCATGAGAATTCTCATGCTTCAGCAGTTTCGAAGCAAATTGGAACACCTTTCCACAACCAATTTCCTGGCACACATGCTGTTTCTGACCTCTTCCTACATAAGTGCCATCATCATTATGAAGTTCTTTAACATGCCTGCTCATGTTACCTTGGCAAACAAATCCACGATTACAGTTCTCAATTGGACACTTAAAGAGTTTCCCTTGGTGCTGAAGAAGATGGCGATTTAAGTGGTCCTTTCTTCTAAAGCTGGAATGGCAATCATCCACTGAACAAACGTATGGCCTCTGTACAGAATAAGCTAACATAAATTCATAAACCATAACCACAATTCCAAAATACACATGACATGAATTCAAATCTTAAATTACGTGATTGAGGCTCGCTTGTTGGAGCTTCACAGGAGGTCTCCCACCTGTTACTGGTCCACTCAAGTCAAAGCTCTCTCGCATTTTGGAGTTCTTTGGGTGGGATCCAATGCTTCACGCTGTCCAACGAATACTTCATTAAAATGTCGATTCCTGCAAAATTTCTAATTTCAATTGATGCAAACATAACAAAAACTTCATACAAAAAGTGAAGAATAAGCTAAAGCAAATTCACAAACAAGCTACACGTGTTCAAGCATTCAAACCTCAAACTGAACGGTACGTGATTGAGGCTCACTTGATGGAGCTTCACAGGAGGTCTCCCACCTGGTACTGGTCCATTCAAGTCCGAAACCTCTTGCATTTTGGAGTTCTTTGTGTGGGATCCAATGCTTCACGCTATCCAAAAGAACGTTCTTAAAGATATTGATTCCTGCAAAACTTCGACCTTAAATTGTTGCAAACATGATGTAAACTTCATCGAAAAAGTACGGAAAGCTACAGACACAATCAGCTGATATGAAACTATCACAAACTAATCCGTATCAGCTGGTTTCAGTGCAAAACTCATAAGCCAATTACATACTTTTCCAATACGAAAACACGTGAAAGCTACCAACTTTGAATTCAACCGAAAACAAATACCTCAAGGGAATGGCTTTGCATATGTTGCTTCAGATGTGCAGGTTTCTTGAAAGTAGCACCACATTCTTCGCAAGTATTGGATTTTATCTTCTCTCCTTCCCCTTCCCCACCAGCCTCTTTTTCCATATCCATCTCACCCTACAACATATAAGAAAAAAGCAAAAACTAAATAAAATTTCACAAAATCAATCCGAATAAAACCCAAAACTTCAAATTACGATTAAAATGCAAACTCAAATCAACCCACAACAGTAAGTCCCTCGAATTCAAAAACCCAATTCGTAAAAATTCATAATTCGATCATAAAAAGCAGAATTTAATAGAAGGGGATGGAAACCTTGTGGTGATCGAGGATGTGAGAAGCGATCAGAGCCTTTTTGGAGCGGCAGATGCCGCAGAATTCACAGTAATATCGCCTTATGTCTATAAAAATTGGCACTTTCTGATCTGCTTCTTCGTTATCCATTGATTTCCCGCACTCTCTCTCGACTCTCTCACTCTCACCCGCCAAATTCATCAGCAGACCGCCGTTTGGTTGTTGCCCTTCTGAAGTCTGATTTTCTAGGGTTTTTGTAGTAGTCGAGGATACGCTATTGCCGCTCCTTTTTACCCCTTCCACTCGACAACAAGTTTTAGAAAAATTGCAAAATAGCACCTCAGTTTTCGCATTTTGTGTATTTACTTCTTAAACAAAGAATAGCTACAACTAATCACCCAGGTCTAATATATTTTTCACAATTCAATTTAGTTTTTTATTTTTCTCTCGATGATATGTTTACACTTGGAATTAACTTTAACTATTCAAAGAACGAAGAGGGTTTACTCCTCAAAATACTTTGTGATTGGTTCACGAAATTTTATGTTTATGATCGAAATCGATTACAAAGTATTTTGAAGAGAAACCCCATTGTATTTTAGTAGCCAAACATTATCTTTACAATTCCATTTAGTTTGATATGTGACTTACATGCATGATGCATCAACTTCTGAAGTCAATTTCGTCAATTCAAACTCATCAAATGGGTCGTAAATTTACAAAGTGAAAATTTTCGGGGTCCTACGTGTAAATTGGCGTAATATTTGCATAATTTCATATGTGATTGGTAAAGGTCCACTTTGACGGCCTAGATCCTGCCACGTAATCCGCCACCAAATCAACAACCTGATATTTTGCGTACGAAAATAAACAGACTATTTGAACACGGCGGAATAAAGCCAAAAAACTCTGTTCCGGCAAACATGGCCTCCTCCAAGAGCGAGTACGCATTCTACTCGCCGATCCCATCCGGTCCCAACAACCCACAGTCTCAGCAAAACGTCATCGTTCTAACTCATTACCGTCCCACCCCCCACTACTACTGCGGACGCTCTCTCCGCCTCTGCATCTCAATCACCGCCTCCATACTCCTCCTCTCCGCCGCAGTCTTCTTCCTCTACCCCTCCGACCCCACCCTCCACCTCGCCCGAATCAAACTCAACCATGTCCGAGTCAACACGTCCCTCAAACCCACTCTCGACCTATCCTTCTCTCTCACCATCAGAGTTCGCAACCGCGACTTCTACTCCTTGAATTACGACTCGCTCAAAGTCACGGTGGGGTACCGCGCGAGGGAGCTAGGTTTTGTGATCTCCGACGGAGGGCACGTCAGGGCCAGAGCGTCGTCGTACGTGAACGCCACGCTCGTGGTCGACGGGCTTGAGGTCCTCCACGACGTGTTTTACTTGCTTGAGGATTTGGCGAAAGGGGTAATTCCCTTTGATACCGATACGGCGGTGGATGGAACTTTGGGGGTTTTGTTCTTCAAGATTCCGATCAAGGTAAATTTGTTCTTGATTCAATGTAGAAGCTTTTATTTGGAATTGGTTCTTGCTGATAATTGTTTGAACATTGAGAGAAAAAAGATTAATTTGGGAAATTTGTACACAAAGCTGCAAACTTTGATTACTGAAAAAGTCTTCGATTATTCACATAATGTGCTTGTGTCCAATTTTCAATTGGTTTTCGCGTTTGTTGTTCTGTTGTTAGTAGAGTTTTCGACTTTCGCTTAGTAGCAGTTTCCGTCGTAAAACCAATTAGCAATATGAGAAGTAGCCCAAGCTCTTATAAGCTTATGCAAGGCTTCTTCTCCCATCAACGTAGGACTCACTCTCAGCAAGCTCTATGTGTGGTCAATTTTCAAGCCTAACACGTAGACAACACAACTCGGGTGATGTAGAGCACGTGTGGCCCTTGACCTTCACATGTGGGACAACGTGCCCTAATACCATGAAAAAATTTGAAGTTCCACCGTAAAATCAATTGGCAATATGAGAAGTAACCCAACTTCTTATAAAACCATGCAAGACCCCAACCTCCCATCAATGTAGAACTCATTCTCAGCAGAAATTCGAGTTTACTTTCGATTTGATCAATCATTTTAGGTAGTGAGTTAAAAGGAAAGGTACTGCTAAGTTTCGTAAGGAAAGGTGTCACTAAGTTTTCGTGTATGCATTCATGATCGATGCAGATGGCTACTTTTTTACGCCCAAAATTATTTCTGTTCCAAAATGTAGAGTTTCAGGAAGCCCAGATTTGGTAGGAGAAAGATCGGTGCAAAGAATAAGCGCAGAATGGATAGAGTAACTATTGCTATCTGCTAATAGATTTATCACTTTCGAAAAGATACGTGCGAAATGGTGCAATTGAATGAGGGTGGGATGGCTGAAGTGGCCATTGATTGTGTTGTGTTTCAACCTCACAGATTAGATGCTAAATCACTTTATCGTGCATGCTAGATTAGATGCTGAGTTTTGCGATTTGTTCTAATTGTGATCTTTAATGTTGATCAGGCAAGAGCATCGTGTGAAGTGTATGTAGATACAAACAATCAGACAGTTCTTCGTGAAGACTGCTACTCTGAGGTGAGGGGATGTTCTTTTCTTTCATCTCCTGTTCACACGTCGATTGCATGCATTCAAAAGCTCCGTCGTCCTCTGCTATAGTTAGTCATAGAGTACTTAGAGCTAATGGAAGAATTAACCAGCGCACCGGCGATCTTCTTGTTGTTGTCGTTATACTATTCTACGAAAGAAGTTTTCACATACTAGTGTTATGTCTGTACATGAGAATCATCACCACCCAAGAATTTTAAGTTTTCACATACTAGTGTTATGTCTGTACATGAGAATCATCACCTCCCAAGAATTTTCTTCCTCAATGTCCTTGAGCTACTAACCAAGTTCTTTTGAATCTTGCAGTGATATCAATGGAGTTCTGCTGTTTAATCTCGAATTTCGGTGCTGAAGGCGAAGATGACAGTTCCGGTTTCTGACAACTTCCATTCCCTGTGCATAATTATCGACTTCAGGCCGATCGCAATCAGCATGTAGAATGTGAACAGAGTGCTTGATTGAATAGCAAAAGAAAATCATTCGAAGGAATTCGTTTAGCTTGTGTTTTACAATTCAAATTACAGAGAATGTAAATGAAATCCCGTGGGGAAGGCTTTTAATTGCTTCACTATGTTGTCAATTATTTGGTTCCTGAGTCAACTTTGCAATTGAAACATGTCAACTGTCGCGAATGATCCAACGGCCACAAAATTCTCGCACACTATGGACCGCAATGCAATAATGTAAAATGTCAACATTGGAATAGAAATTGGTTTGGGGACAGGGACTTATTCTTTTCCAACACGTAAATGCTAACTCAGTGATCATTCCGTGTTACAGTGTGGTGGTATTCGTTTCTCTTCACTTGAAAGTGAAATATTTTAAGTTCGAATCTCGTGGAAGGCGAATTCAGTAACAAATTATATTGTCTATTATATGACTTTGCCGAACTTCTTCTTCCCTTAGTGTAAAAATATCGATATACTAAAAAGAAACCCCAAAAAAAAATAAAAAAAACCTAAGTGATTAGTGTTTATATTCTAATAGCATTATTCCACTCAATGCGACTAAATCCTGAACTTTCTACTGCGAATTCAAACTCGAACTCATTACTCTATCCAACTTGATTAAACCCCAGATTTACTAAAAAACCTTGATAAAATGCTAATAATAGCATAAATGAACGTAATTAGAATAACAGCCAAAGCGAGTGTGTTTTCCTTATGCATCAGAGTTTGAATTTCCGATATATGAATTTGTTTATCATCGGATATCGAATGCAATAAAAAATAGGGAACCGTTGGAAGGGGAAAACAAAATTACATTATTATTATTATGCATAATAAAAACTTGGACTAATTAATTACTGGACATATCTTTTCTCAAATTCCGGCCACCACCCCAAACATACTCAGCATGGTGTTGCCTACACCGGAACGAACCCGGATGCTGCGTCGGCGAGCACAAGCACCACCGAGTATCGCCGCCACCGTTGCCACCTCCATCTGCAGCCTCTCCAACCCTTCTGGCCGCAGCTGCAGCCGCATGCAGGTTCGCTGTCGTCTCAACCGCCACAGGCGCCTGCAAAAGAAGCCATCTGCGATGCTGCTGCTGCAGCACCGCCAAGTCTCTCACTCTCAACCTCACCAAATTAGGCACGCCTGAAGGGTGACACATAATTTCTAGTCTTCAAAACCAGAAATCTGATCTCTTTTAAAATATGGTTTTTTTTAAATTTGAGAGGTGATTGAGAATTTGAGAGCAAAGGAATCTGGGAAGGGAGGTAGCTACGGCATCATATGGAAGGAATAAGAATATATTTATAAGAAAGTGAAAGGTGGCTAATAAAACAAGGTAGATTTTAGATTGATTCCCACGAAAGAAAAAGCTACAATTTTTACTTTTAAACGATGCTTTAATTCGTTGAGGAGGAGTTTATGATGGTTACCGTGAGAGGTTGTGTCAGAGTGCAAACAAACCACCGCTCTAACGCTAATTGTTTTTAATGTCGAAAAATATTAAAGATAGTAACATAATTTTATAAAATAAAATTTTTTTTTTTTAAATCTTATGTACATGTAAATTTAACATTTCTAATAAAAAAACAATCTCTCTTCTTCTTTCTCTCTTCTTATATCCACATTCTCTCTCACTCTAATCCTTTCTCCTTCAATTTTAACAATCAAAGTAAAAAAATTCACACACTTTATATATAGGTATATACTATTGTGATATATATCTATGCTTATTGATGTTTAAAAACCTAACGAAGCATCAGTTTTATTGATAAGTTCCAAGTGGGCCCACCAATGAGTGGCACAATTTTCAAGATGGATTAGATGCTACTTGTGATTTGCCACGTCCCCTTGGAATTCTGCCACCTGTGACACACATGTCCCTTCCTAAGTGGCAATATTAGAACCCAAGTTTTCTTTCCCTTGTACGATCAATATAGAACTTAGGCAACTTTGCTATCAGATCCATTTGGCCACTGGTTTTCAATTTCGTAGGCCTCTTGTTTTAAATTTCTTTCATTTTCTAGTTCCATCTACAATGTTAGGTTTTATCTTTCTTTTGAAAAATAAAAAATAAAAAATCAGCTGGTGATTTCGTTACAGCAATTCACCATTTCAGAGGATATAGACTTACAGAAGTATTTCAGCTTCTTCCTAGTCAGCATCAGGCGGTACACCAACGACAGGAATCGAATCCATAACGTACATATTTGGAATTCGCCTCCAACCACTAGGACCACCCGTGATGATTACAAAATTTAATGGTTGTAAACAATCAATTCTTGTATGTAAAATATAACCGTTGGTTTAAACCATTAGAACTAATGTCAACTACGTATCCTTGTATATGGCCACACACATTCCTCTTGTGGGGGGTTGCATGGCTTATTTGGGAGAGACCAAGAGGAAGGACCTAGATTTAAGATTAACAACTAATTATGGTAATTTTTGTCTATTTGGTTGGGGGAGAAACCTTCAAGATGAAGGAAGAGATCTTGGTTTGATTAGGAATTTAGGCTTTGGCTCTTGGAGTTGTGTGGAGTTCCCAGTCAGATCAGATCATACACCTGATTAGATTAGTGTCTGCTTTTTCTTGGATTATAGCAAACAGCTTGTGTGGTGCACAGTCATATCCATGCACATATGTACAACTTATAACAAATTAATGTATTTTATGTTGTAACACATCACGTATGTGTTGTTGACGTTGTCGATAATGGAAAGGAATCGTCTTCAGATTCCTTTCTCCTAATCCATCAAGTTCGGAAATTCGGATCGTTGAAATTTGATCAAACGGTTAAAGTTATTATAACTTTTAAAGTGAGCCCCTATTTGTAGCTGTTGAATCAACTTTTAAAGGCCAAAATTCTCATACTTAGTAGATTAGGAGGAAGGGATCCGAAGATGAACATTTTCTGTCGATAATGTATGAATAATACAATTAATAAGATTCGTTAGTTACAATAATATCGAAATACTATTGATATTATCTTGAGAATTCATTCTTGAACATAGGACAAATGGTGGTTCAATTGTTGTACTAATGTTCTTTTTTTGTTTAAAAAAAAAAAAAGAATAGTTGGTGATTGCATCACCATAGCTTTTTCGGGAACAAAGAAGACTCGTAGAGGTAGCTTTCATTGGTCATTATTGTGTAATTCACCAATATCAGGAATCAAATTCAAGACGTGAATTTTATGTTTCATATTTGTATTTTATTTTCTAATACTTACACAAAGCCGTTGGACATAATATCTACTTGGAATAATTACTAAAAAAAAATAACACAATAATACCAGTTACAAAATTTTAATATAAAATAAAATCTACAATTATTAAGACGTTGATAAAGGAGTACAAAATCGTGACTCATACCGCGTATTATCAGTTTAGTGTTCATCTTATTCATGTGTATTTTCATTTTCATCATCTTATATCTTACCAATTCATCATTTGCCTTTTTTGAAAATATTACAAATAGACGATTGAATTGAAAATTGGAGTCGCAAAAAGGTTTATGTTAAAAGGGAACATAAAATTAATAAATCTGAATGCTTTATTCTTTTTACATTGGGCAAAATAATTAAAATACAACAAGAAAGGATGAGAGTTGAAAATAATCCAAAGCAATTCAATAAATTAAACATGAGCAGAAGGTCATATGTTATGTCTTGATCCGAAAATGCTGAAATTCCTCTATAAGCGCCAGCTCCCTATAAGGTGGATTAGCGAGCTGGTATTTTTTTTTTTTTTTTTTAAAGTAAAACCTTCAAAGAGAAGCTTTCCACAATAGTGCTTCAGAAAATATATTGAAGAATATTTTCACTTTATGTTTTTTTTTTTAAGTTTTGTCGTACTTTGGTTTCTCCAAAAGTAGAGGAAAATAATACAACACTAGCAAAAAATTATATTGTTTTCTTGCATATTATCACAGACTCACATGTCAGGCATCTCACAATTTTCAAATAAAAGAAAAAGGAAAGGAATCATCGCATAAAGAATCGTCCATCGACTGTTTAATTACTATTTGCGTTTTTAAGTAAATTATTTGAGTTGTTGTTTTTCTTTGCTTAGCGTTCTGGTAAGGTGTTTCATTTTGTTTCTGTATGTATTTTTAGTGTCAAATTGGTGAATATGATTCGAATTTTCAAATAATATGCAAAGGCATAAGAAAGAGTAGATTTTTTTTTTTCTTTCAAATATTTGGTATTAAGTGATACTCCACATGTCATAATACAAATAGACAAAACTTATAGTTTTCCGTACGGTTTATGGGGATATGAGAGATGCAAAAAGGGCATTTGGTGAATCCGCGAAAGAGAGTTGTCTCATGGAATACAGTTGGAAGAATTTGCAATTAGTTGGATTTTTTTTTTTTTTTTTTTAAGTTTTCAACTAATTGTATTATTGTATTTGGTATTACCATATCGTATTTACGGCATACTGAAAAATCTCCCTTGTTATTGGGTGCTTTTGGTCAATGAGTGCTACGTGGAGGCACTTGATTAGTATAGACTATATTCAGAGAGATGAGTTTGGCAATTGTGCGTAAGCCAAATGTTGTTGCTGTTATCAGTGTGTTCTTGGTTTACTCAAAGATGAGTTCATGGCAATCCAGATTCATGGCCATGTTGTGAAGGTTGGTTTGGATCTTTTAGTGACTACTGGATGCGTTGGTTTATGTGTACGGGAAATGTAGGAATGTGACGGCTTCAAAAAGAGTTTTCGATGAGATAATTCAGAAGAATGAGGTTTCCTGGAATGCACCTATGACTAGTCTTTCATACACGGGGCATAATTTGCAAGCCTCGGATACAATTTAGGTTGATGATTGATGCAGGAGTCAAACAAATCCCTGTCACCATTTCTAGCATGCTACCATTGTTAGTTGAACTAGAATTCTTTGGAGTTGGCATAAAACTCCATGGTTTCAGTGTAAGAATGGGTATTGAAACAGCTATCTCCATTGCCAACTGATTGAAACAGATAAGATGATGCGAGAAAACCGGTTAAAGTGGTTCAACAGAAGACTTGGCGCAAAACCGGACGCAGTGGTGTTCTAATATTCATACATATGGCTCTACTTAGTGGGATAAGGCTTTAGTGTTTTTGT